ATCTGGATCCTACAATGCATTTCTACTTACATACTAACGTACCAAATTTTTATGTTGTATTTGACTTTATTTTGCCACAGAAACTTTAAGGGGAAAGGTTATCAACCACTAACCACAGGCTCAATCCTCTTTACTGAGTCCTATTTTTGTGCCAAACTCCATACTGCCAATAGTAATTTATACACTAAGATGATTTTACTTCAAGAAAGACTCATTAAGAAAATATTACTTAAACGTAACTTAATCCATGGACAAAGTATTTTATTGCACACAGGAATTTTTTTTCTTTGAAGAAGAAGCAAGAAATACAATAGACAAATATCTCCTACTAAAGTTTCAAGTATTTTTTCACCATGCATCTGTCCAGCCCTGAAGACCAAACAGAAACTCCTATAGCAGAAGCACCACACTGCCAAGTCAAACGTGGCGAGCCTGTGGCGGGGAGGGGGGGGGGTCTCTCTCTTTCCCAGACTTGGTAGTGCTAGCTTCTAAAGTTTTATTTTTATTTTTAAATGTCTCCCCAGCGCTGAAGACCAAACAGAGACTATTGCAGCAGAAGCACCATGCAGCCAAGTCCAACGCGGGGAGCCTCTGTGTGGGGGGAGGGGTCTCGCTCTGGCCGCAGATGGACAACATGCGTCTGACCAGGCGGGAAACGGTCGCGCTGACCGCGTGGTGCGTCGGACTGGTCCTGGCGGTGCAGGCGATCTTCAGCTACCTGCATGGTGAGGGGCTCAAGGTCAACTCAAGGACAGGCTGACCTTGAATTGAATGACTGATAAAAAAATGGAAATAGGAATTATGTTAAGAAGAAGGGTGGAGAAAACTTGTCAAATAATTTCAACTTATTAACTAGCCTAATTACTAAACTGAGGGGATAGATGAAATAAGATGACAGAAAAACTTTTCAAGATTATGCAGATAGAAGATAGGATGTCTGTCCAGTGTACTGTTAATAGTGTTATTCATTCTCAGTGATAATCTTCAGTATGGCTACCAGTCTTTATGAGCCTCTGATGAGTCTGTGCTTTAAATGAGCCACATATGCAGTATTCCAGCCTAAGCAAGCCTGGTATATAACAGTCAAACCACTGTATAAAATAACCATAAACATCATTTCTTCCCATTAAATAAATCCTAAGAAAACAGTGATAAATTCACCAAAACAAGTTTTTCTATTCAAGAAAGAAATAATCTAAAGGCAAGCAATGTTCAAGTCTGATCCATGTCCACATACTTTGCTGCAGGTCATGTGATGAGGAAACTTCACGTCTTCACTGGTCGCCTGCGCCGTTTCCATGCCGACCACAGGCTGGAGGTCACCCGAGGTCAGCAGCAGTTTGACAGGTCTGTTCTCAGGTGGCACACAGACTACAGGAACCTCATGGTATTAGACTTCTTTTTTTTGCTCTAATTGTATTGTATTGTATAGTGGGCCGGCTACTTCCTCTTAGCAGCCAAGGGCTGAATTGTGAGGAGTTTACAATTATTGGGGCTTAATCGCATGAAAGGGTCTGGAGCAGCTGCCGCTTGGCGCTAATTCAGGTGACCTCAATACAACCCCAGGTATGGTCATCTGACTGTAAGGTTTGAACCACTCACACTGAGAAGGACCCCTACTCCTTTCAATAAGTGTGGTGGGATCTTTGTCCCATATATCCTAAGCTGAAGAACTAGATATAGAGCTGTCCTACTACTTTTCCTGCTGTCAACCCTTACGAGCTGTTCTTAAACTTTTTTATCTGTACAGGAATGGTCGATCAGCTTGAAAAATCTCTGTCCCTTGCAGGGGTCTACACAAAAAAGGCTAGGGTCAGCAGTTTTTTTATCTGTCGGGAAACAGGCCTAGCTGTTCTTAAATTTTTACACTTCTCCACCAACAGGAGTCTATAGAGCAGGACTTCCATGTGTCGGTGGGCGGGGCCCCTGTGCTGTTCCAGCTGTCCCTGTTGCTGTACCTGCTGTCCATCTGCACCCTGCTATACTACCTGGGGGACAACATGCTGTCCAAGAGCAAGCTCACACCCAGGAGGATCAAGCAGTGGTAGGGAATTCAACTCAACAATTTATTTCCATGTTTACCGGAGGAAAACATACTAGTATTGTTTTTGATCACTGACAGATACTTCTTCTTCCATTCCAAAGAAATAAGGTCAATGACCTGGACCAGATGTCTGTCACCATGGTAACTGGTGTTGGGTTACATCATGTTTCAAGTGCCATGCAGAACTGTGTTCAAGAGGGCCTGCATGGTCACCATATATATGAGTGTGTTTGAGTAAAAATAAAGAACAAAGCAGTAGCTCGTTAAGCTGGGCCATGTAACTTTGGGTAAACATAATGTATTTGCTTTGCAAATGTTACCTTTCTAGTATTCTTATTTGACTTGGTGTTGTGTGTATTTAGGGTGTCCCTGCTAGTAGTAACCAGTGTGTGGACGTTGCTTGGCCTGAAGCTGCTGACCACTGCCCAGCACCTGGAGTCAGCTGTGGAGATGACTGTGTACCAACTCAGTGAGGAACTGGTCAGTTCAATCCCCCTGTTCGTTACAGATAACTGTTTCTTTGACTTTGCACCTCGTAAAGAATATAATTGGAGAGTATTTGATTAATCTCCAAACATAACCATCAAAGAAATTTTCTTGCCTCCCTGCCTGCAGGGTGACCTAGTCCTGCTTGACCATGACTTGAGCAGGTACCACAGTGTCTTAAGGTACTGGCAGTACCGCTGTACCCCGCCTACCTCACCTGGTGTACTCAGCATCTTAGGAATCTTACAGGTGAGACTGATGTTTTAAAGGAACCTAGCCTCTACCAGGCTTTGGAAATATAGTTGGAAAGAGTACAAATTGGCCAAATAGAGAGATAACATGCCAAGGGACATTTTGCCGCAAAATGTACTCTCTAACAGACCAACTTCCTCGGCATGTTATCTCTTTATTTGTCCAATTTCTACTCTTTCCAGCCATCTCCCGAAGCCTAGTAGGGGCTATAAGGAACCACAGTGTCTTCAGGAATATTGGTGAAGGTGCATTTTCCAGTGAACATATTTTGTACCAAATTTCGAGAATTTTCTGCTGATGATGATTGTTGTTCCCTGTGATTTCCCAGGTGAGAGATGTGAACTACTACCTGCAGTACTACAGCTTACCTGTCCTCACTGCTCTCTGCACACCTGTGGTCAGACTGGTCCTCGCACTCAAACAAGTCTACAGTCCTGCTTAGGGTCTGAAACTGTGCAATGTACAGTCAAACTTGTCTAAGGTGACCACCCAAGGGATAGAAGAAAAAGCCACTTGTTGTACACACTGCCACATTGATCCAACCCAGCCAGTGCCATTTTACATTGTGCAAAGACTGTGACAGTCATGCTATTGAAATTAATGGCAAACTGGCAGAATCCATCAAGTTTCTAGTTACAAACTGTATACTAGTATCATGAAGTTAGTTTTTCAGCCACAAGCTTGAAAGTGATTGTTTGGGGTTGATTGTTTGAGGTTATTATAGGCAACAATCATTTGATGTACTTAGTTAAAAATTGTTAAATGTATATTAATCTTTACAACATATTTATATTTTGGTGTCATTGTAGATACTAGTAAGCCATTCTTGTATAGTCATATTTTATATACATTCCTCTGAGAGTCAGTCATATTCCTGTTAGTTTTGGTCATAATGACATTTTTTGCGTAATTTTTCTGAAGGTGCAAGCCATAATGGTGAATCATTTTGTTAGATAAAAGGCATTGCAATGGTGTGAAAGTTATTTATATGTAGCTACTTGAATTTCATATATTATGTAGTGTTTTTTTAAATTTAATGTAACTTATTTATCTGCTGACATCTTATAGTACACATCATATAATCATGTATTAATATTTTACGCAATCATATTCTAAAGATTCGAATACTTGAACAGTGTTATAATAAGTTTACTATAGACAGGTACATGTATATGGGTGAACATTGTTTTCTTCGTGTTATAAGTATGCATAGTAAAGAACAGTCAATAAGACAACATATATTTTACAAAAATAGTTTATTGCACTTTTAGCAGGCATGTTGAAGTGGTCATGGAAAGCTGGGCCATGTACAATTATACATGTATAAGAAAATTCTAAATAAACCAGAGTATCTCTTACTCCAGATTATTTCATAATTATATTAACTTTCATATTGCATAATTATATCATCTTTGTTACTGATGAGACATACATTGTACAGACCAGTTGATACCACATTTAAAGCTCACATTATTTTCAAACTCAGTGGCTTTAGACAGTCTTTTCATTGCACATATAGAATAGGGACGAAAAGGTAACATTTGCTACATGATGTAATCCAATACAGGGTGTCTCAGAAGCACCATTTACCATGGTGACAGACATCTGGTCCAGGTCATTGACCTTATGTGTTTGGAGAAGAAGAAGAAGAAACAGAGCAAAAACAATATGTTTTCATTCTGCAAAGGCAAACATAAATATTGCAGGTGTCAGTTCTCGGTTGTCATGGTGATCAGGTTGCCATGGTGATGAGGTTACCATGGTAATCAGGTTGCCATGGTGATACGATTGCCATGGTGATCGGGTTGCCGTGGTGATCGGGTTGCCGTGGTGACCAGGTTGCCATGGTGATCAGGTTGTCATGGTGATGAGGTGTGCTCAGGTGACAGCTGCAGCTGCCTCACACCTGCTGGTTGCCATGGTACCCAGCTGTAGCCAGGTGTCTGTTTCCGGGTCGTAGCACTCCACAGTGTTCAGCGTGACAGGTGCAGCATAACCTGTGGAAGGGAGAATAGTCATGAGTAAATGTTGAGACTAAGGTTTTTGATGTCACACCTAGCTTACTTCTTTTTTATCCTTTCCTTCATTTAATAAGTGTTAGGAAAGAACATTGCCAGGCTTCCTTGAGATACAAGCTATCACTTTACCACATTGTAGTTGCTTTGCACTGCACAATGTCTTTTTGGAAAACTTAGTATTGAAGTCACATGCTAGAAGTGAATGAATTATTATGATAAAGAAGACCTAAGGATCAGTAGGTGAGAGTATATCTAACTGACAGTGCAACGAGATGTGAGAAGTTTGATTACGTTAGTTGCTTGACATAACTGGTAAACTGCCTTTATTAGTTGTAACACCGGTTTTGAGCAGTAAGAACATTTTAGGTACATGTCATATATTAAGTTATAAATCCTTTCTTGGGCTGTTCCAAAACAAGTGCTTGTTCCTCACCCCTGGTGGATGTCCGTCCCCCCAGTACGTACAGCATATTGTTGATGGCGGCTACAGAGGCTCCAGCTCGAGCTGTGGACAGGGGGGCCACCTCACGCCACTTGTCCTGTGTGTGTGTGAGGGGAGGAATTACAGCTATGAGATAAAGAAATTTGGATCTACAATAAAGTGAAATACATTGTACATTACATACATACATACTAGTACTGTACATACCCGGGCTTTAATTATGGCTTACATGTACACTGTAAATGAAATAAAATGAAACACAATAAAATACAATTTTGCTACAGAGATGATTCAACTGCAGACTGATCCATGACTCTCTGGAACACATCCTACTGTATACATGTACAGCAACTAGAGTATGAAGTACACTGTAGTGAGTAACTTGTTTTATCCTCACCAAAGCTCAGAAAACACTGGACAAAAATGAGCCATACAGACCCCAGACTTTTCCTAAGTACAATTCATATTAGGCATTTTGTCGGTCTCGTAGGACCATGAAAATACTTCTTCAACATGTACTTTCGATTCAATTCAACGCTTTTCTTTGACTTTATTTTACTTATTCTATGTCTTATGCTTAGAACGACTAAGAAAGAATTAAGTTAGAAAACAAAATACACATACCTCGATGGGTGAGTACCTCTCCACAGTCCTGAGAGCCTCCTTCTGATCGTTCCACCCCCCCACGGCGTACAGACACCCCCCCAGCGTCCCCACCCCCACGTACGCCCGCCTCTCCTTCATGTCAGGCAGACGGGTCCAGTCCTGGGTCACGGGGTCGTAGAACTCTGCAGTTCTCAGCTCTGATCCCAGGTCACTCATACCTCCTACAACGTACAGGAAACCTGCGATGGAAGAATGAAAATTAAGATAACATTCGCAAAGCAAATGCATTATGTTTACCTTCGCATATGGTCTACTTTGTTAATTCTTACTCATTCATACATTTCATGTATATTATGACAATTGAGTATAAATCCCTCCTGCTATAAAATTGCGACATGATGTAACCCAACACTAGTTACCATGGTGACAGACGTCTGATTCAGGTCTTTGCTATTCAGGCTATTGGTTTGGAGGAGAAGAAGAGGAAACAGTGCAAAAACAATATGTTTTCCTTCTGTAAACAAAATACATTTTTTCCATCAATTTCTCCCAGGTCACTATATATCTAAAAAACACATGCAGAACCTCATGATAGTGCTTACCATCCATTTCTGTAACCCCCATACAGAACCTCAGGGTCTCCACCCGCCCTACGACCTCCCACCTCTTGACCTCGGGGTCATATCTCTCGATGGTGTTCCCGATCTCTGACCCGACCCAGCCGCCGATGGCGTAGATGGCGTCCTGCAGAACGCACACACCGAGTCCGCACCTTGGTACGGTCATCACGGACGGCAGAATCGTCCAGCGATTCACCGCCGGGTCAAAACATTCCACGTTATCGTAGATCAGCGAATCGCTTTCCCCGCCGACCGCGTAAACTTTCCCGTGTAGCACGGCGATCCCATGTCCGCTACGGCAGTAGTTTAGAGGTGGGAGAAAACTCCAGCGCTGGCTGAAGGAATCGTAACACTCGGCCATGTTGATTGTATGACTGTCGCTCCAACGTTCACCTGGAAGTCTCGTGTAACCGCCCGCCACGTAGAGAAACTTGCGAGCGTTCCGACGCGGTTTGGTGAAGCCAAAATTTTTCACAGGTCTCTGCGCGGGCCTGCCCGGCTTACAGATGATATTGTAGTCCTCAAACAACTTCTGTAACACAATCTGGAGACTTAGGTCTGTCAGGACGTGTTTCAGGTATTTGGAGAGACACTGGGGAGAAATGAGAGGGAACCGTACGGGAGACAGGATCTCGTAGACAAACCGTCGTCTCTTCGTGACGTCGTACATTATCCATGACATGGCACTGGTGAAGACCTGAAAGGAAGACAAACCTACTGTTGGTGTCACTTTAGTTAAAGTACATGATGTAAAATATTCAGACGTACAAAAAAATGCACGATGCACAAAATGACTTATAAAACTGGCAGATGTAACTAACTACATGTGTACAAAGTATCTACTGAAATACCAGCTCAGAGAGGAAATAGTCATGCCTTCAAGTACATGTACCAGAGTTATCAACCAAGGATTTAGGTGTTCAAAACTTGTAGGGTGTAACTTGCTGCTACCAAGCCAGTATAGGAATTACTAATGGTAACCGAATACAGTCAGGCTAATACAGACCTGATACTCGTTTTCCACATGCAGATCCTCGCTGGACAGCAGCTCTGCCAGAAGTTCCTTGGAGACGTTGAAGAACTCGTCCTCCCTGCTGACCTGTGTGAAGTGGGACTGGATGTATGTCAGGCTGGCCGAGCACAGGTCCTGACAGGCGTGAGCCTCCGCATACATGTAGATCCCCAGGGCATTGGACGGATGGAGCTATGAGTAAACAAACAAACAAACAAACAGGTTTCCTCGGTGAAGATAAAAAGATATGCCAAAAAACTATCATCCTTGTCTTGAATATGTAACTTTTGTTTCCTTTTGGACAGTTATTTGCATATCTATCAATAGTTCGTACCTATAAAGTTTAACCTGCTTTTCTCCAGTGTCACCGACGAAAGGTAGTAGATGCCACCTGAAACGTCTGACCGTTTCCAAAATCATATTCAGTTGCTTGACTAATTGTTTTTTGGCAAAACAAACAGTTTTTTTTACCCGGGTACAAGTAGGTACAGGTCTGGATCTGAACGTTTGATGCACCTGTACCTAGTGTTCTAGCTAGCCTTAATTGTTTTCCTCAATCTTGTGCGGCATAACACTATGTTAAGTGCTGAAAATGTTGAAAGCTTGACCCTCTGAAATACTTATTTCCTGCATTTTGAGGTGCAAAATTTAGCTGGTTCTAGCCTGGTAGGCTAAGCTAGCTTCATGACATCTCTTTTCATATAACCCACGAAAAGAGTGTTACGTTGTTTACCTGTGATTGGAGAAAGCTGGTGCAGGCAGTGATGACATCGGGCAGCTGAAACATGTCGGCCGCTGCCAGCAGGTCCTGAACATTGCCCACACTCACGCCTATGGAACCTGTGGGAGGTTTGAACATGTGTCATCTGTCCTCTCAATCAACCAGTCAAAATCTAAACAATCAACTAACTTCAACCAACTAACTACACAATAAACCAACTATTCAACTCTCAAATCAACTTACTAGTACCAATCAACAAGTAACCAACTAACTAATCAGCTAACCAGCAAATGAATTAACCAAGTAATCAACTGCCCATTCACCTTAGTTGCTAACCAATCAACCAGCTCACCAACTAACTAATCAACTAAACAACCACCAAATAAATCAAGCAATCTACCAACTAGCAACCAACCATTCAACTTGCTAACCAATTAACCAGCTAACAAATCAACCAACTAACCAATGAACTAACCAGCCTTCCAGCAAGCTTCCAGTCAATCAACAGACACACCTACCAATACTACTATCCATTCCGTTAGGACTGGAATTCCAGAGCTAAATCTTGACTCGGCACTCGTTTTCCAGTGCTAAACTCCACTCAGTACTCGGGTGCCAGTACTCGGAGGCCGTTCACCACTGGATAGCAAGTGTCGAACAACCTATGTGCACTGTGCTCATTGACTCTTTGCTAACCTGTGTACATGAAGTCCAGCAGCATGTTGAACACGTCTGGTTCCACCGCGTGCAGCTGCACCTGTCCTCGGCCCGCCTCGCTCATCCCCCCGCCCAGCATCGCCGCGAAGTACGGGGAACACGCCGCCACCACCGCGCGGTGCACGGCGAACACACAGCTGCCCACGCTGGAAATAAAGTAGGAGAGTTGCTACAAGTTAAGACTGACAGACACACCAGCTAACCAATACCCCAAATAAGTAACATGTTGTTTGTTTGTTTGTTTGTTTGTTTGTTCACTCGGCGAATACCGAGCTACCCACGCTGGAAACAATTTGAAGAAAAAGGTCTTTCCACTCCTTGCGGAGCATTGGGGGGGTGCCAATCTTCATTTCTGTAGCCCTTGGGCCACACAGTGAAAATAATTTGAAAAAAACTTTTCAAAAACAATTTTTTTGGTGAAAAATTATTCTGGAGCAAACGATGGTGGAGTACTGTGGACATAAATATTTTTGTCAGTTCGCTCAATTTCTTGCCGAAATGAAATTAGGAGACACCGTTAAAAGAAAATTTGGAGAAGATTCTCGATCAAACCATATATTCAACCTTCTTGATCAAACGATAGCGGCGTACAATCATCTGTAGATGTGACATATATAAAATTTTCGAGTTTCATAATTTTTGGCTGTGTATATTTTGCCCAGATGTCAGTGCCTTTTGCAAGAAATAGACAACTGTCTGCTACCTGAATTCCACGTCGCAGAATTCCCGCTGTCCCCGTAGCTTGTTGAGGTGGCCTAGGACGTTTTTGGAGTGCCAGTCGGCGTGGAAATGTAGAGTTTCTTCGGCGGAGACGCCTCTACCGCTATCAGCGTCCGCCATTGTTGTCATCTTCTGACAATCTGGAAATGGACTAGTCCATTCTACAAAAGGGATGTAATCTTTATAAATATATATTTTAAACCCTATATTTACGGTAAATGTAATGCATGTTGCAAATGTAGTATTTAACATAATACAACTAAACGTAATAAAGAAGTTAAGTCGACATATGTTGTAAAATGTGTAATATCAGCTTTATGTGTTTATGTGGATTCCCCTAAAAACAATGGCACAGTCATATTTAGGTCAAAGGTGATGGCACGTGAGGTCATTGAACTTTTGAACTTTGAGCACTTGCTTCTGCAGGAAGAGTTGCTCAAGAATCTTCTCTTCTCAAACTTCTTTAAGTGCCCAGCTGAACGTCTTTAAGTCTCACCATGGCAGCAGCAAGTGCCGTGGCTCACATAGTGCCTAAGCAGGAGGTATTGTTGTTGTTATTGTTGCTGTGTTGTCCTGTGCTTTACGTCTACTTTTTTTGGGGAGCTAGACGTGGTCTCTAACTATTGGTGCCTCTCATGGTGCTTTGTTTGTTGTAGCTAGCTGTTCTCGCTTGTGCTGTAATGCTTTGCACATGTATGTTTCGGAGATTTTATTAAATTCAATGCTATTCAATGATATTTGATGCTATTTAATGTTACTTTATATATATATACATGTATAACTTTATTGCGCAACAGATATCCAGGGTAAAAAGTATGGCACCAACTACATTTTCATAAGACTAACCTAATACAAAAGTGGGTGCCTAGGGCCTAGGAAAATAAATGTTGTGTTTCCTGTTTCCCGACCGACCCTAAAAAAAACCGCCGACCCTAGCCTTATTTTTGTGTGGACCCCTCCATATTGCTGAACCAAAACATTTTGCACGACGCTACCGAGAGAATCGCTGTCATTGGTGGAACATCGGGCGCCCCGCTAGCGTTTTGAAGTCGCGTAAACAACGCTAATAATTTGTCTGATTTGTTTGTAAAACAAAGCCATCGACTCCGAAAATAAGTTTAAAAGCCGATACATTTACGAACTAATCCCCTACCGTACTGCACCATCAGCATGCGGCGGCCGCAAAAATTCGGCAACGCGAAAGAAAAATGTCTGGTCCATGATAGCAGTATTTCTCATAAAAATAATTTATATGATTTATTTTTCCCCCTTTGTCGGTCTTTTAGTCCCAAAACGTCTAAAAAAGCGGAAATTTGCCCATAAAACCGGACGAGGAAAGGTAGCTATCGACGTAAACAAATTATAAGCACATGGCGAAAATCAGCAAAATCGGCAACGGGACAGAAAAATGCCTGGTCCATTTATCGATATTTACCATGAAAATGTCGTCTGTGGTGTATTTTTCCTCTGATGTGAGTTTTTAGGTCGCAAAACCTCTAAAAAAGCAGAAATTTGCCCACGAAAACGGACTGGCAAGGCATGGGGGAGGGCGCTGTTGACGCCTGCATGACCCCCAAAGGTTGAAGGTCATAGGGCACGTCCATTGCGCAATAACCTTAAATCGCCGATTTAGCTAATTTTTTGGGGTTTCAAATTGATACAATCACACTATCGATTTTTAGGCAAACAAAGGGATAGAAACCAATTAAAATTTTGTGCAGATTAATTTTTTTTTCTTTAGAATTCTTTTTTGTTTCTTTTTTTCTCCCAAATCCCTGGGAGAACCCTGAAAACCTGTAGACTTGAATCAGGACCTGCTGAATCTGAATTTAGCCCTGCAAGGGCTAGGGACATCTGTTAAGTTCTTCGAGCTGATCGACCATTTTTCATCATGTTCTGCTTAGGCCACACCAAGTAAATTTTATGGATGACGTCCGCGCGCGCATTGATTTTGGCCTGTTCCAGAAAAAAAGAAATTCCGCTTCCTGTAACTATGACCAAAGAGTCACGACAGTGCCGCAAATAGTCAGATTGACGTGAAACCCGTAACGCGAAAACAGGATAGGACGACAACTGCTATTCCACCTGATTTATTGCTGTTTTGATGATGAATAAAAGACTTCTTGCTTGTTACACTGTGTCACCTCATTCAATTTGTGTCCTAACATTTGTCATCTCTTAGTATATTTCTAATCTAGGCATCTTGTTTTTTAGGGCCCTTCTTGTTTTTTTCTCGCCCTCTCGCATTAGATTTAGGGTCTCCAAAGGACGTCATCCATAAAATTTACTTGGTGTAGCCTTATATAAACACAGCAATCAGCAAAGTCTAAAAAAAAATAAAAAATAAAAATAAAATAAGATAATCCCTACCTACCGACCCTAATTTTTTCTGTACTGAAACAGGAAACACAACATTTTTTTTCCTTGGCCTATGAGATAGGTATCAACTTACACAATCGTTGGAGGAGTTTCTAATATCTATACAATATAATCCTTATGTATTGCATATAGGGGTTGTCACAAGTCAATATGTATTTACATTTTCTATGTTTAGGTGGTAGCGTTTGTTGAGCGGTGTATGGGGTCAGTGGGAACACCGGCTGCCCACGCCACGGCTCTGGCCCAGGCCCTGATGACAGCTGACTACAGAGGACACTTCAGTCACGGGCTCAACAGGCTAGGTATGTGGTACAAGCTCTGTGACAGTTCAGCTTCTATAGCTACTTTGGCTTGGAAATCCTACAGAAGACTGGAGTTTATGTCAGTATGGGAATTGCGACCAGCCCCTTGCCACGCCCCCTTCTGTGTGTGTTGTAGTGGTTAGTGTCCCCTCTTCTGTATTGCAAGGGTTTTACAGGGGCACCAATCCCGGCGTAGGCTTGCCCTCGGTATTCAGCTGTATCCTGCTTTTTGTGTGCATAGATTAGTTGTGTCGTAAGATAATGAAACGACTAGGGCCCGGGCTAGTAGAACTAGAAGCATGAAATCTGCTGGCTCCCAGGAATCGAACCTGGGCCGCCAGCTCAGCTCATGAACCCAACACCTTACCACTAGCCTAAAAGGTCTGGACCTGTTAGGTAAGTTTGTAGTACTTGAACCAAACCAGTGTAACAACAAGGACGTTCTACAGTTGAACATCCTTGGTTACAAGAAGTTAAATGGGCTGAACTGGTGAAGTCTGCCATCTCTGAATGTCAACTGGAAACTCAAAGACAATGTTACACAAAATAAGTGATACTGAAACCTAAATACTGATTAACTTTTCCTTCAGACATGTACGTTCAGGATATCCGGTCTGGTATGACTGTGAAGGATGGAGAGCCCACGGTGGTGAACGAGCGGGCTGGGACGGCGTTCGTGAACGGGAACAACCTCCTCGGGCCGGTGGTGTCAAATTTCTGCATGGACCTCGCCATGAGGAAGGCAAAGGATGCTGGGATAGGATGGGTTGTAGCTTGTGGTAATACATACATATATGTTGATCCCCAAACTCCGTTGGCCTTTAGTCTGCTGGGTGCCAGCCTCCAAAGTTTTTGCCCGCTCCCTAATGTTGCTGGGCAAAAACTACAGAGGATGGCGCTCAGGCTAGTTGGCCTTGTAGCTGAAGAGATATCCTTTTGTTCCATATGTGCAGTTATTTTCCTTGAAGTTCCGAACTATACTCCAGCAGCTTCGAATAGAAATAGGGGTTACCCCAGCTGGGGTGTGCCCCCTAGAAGAGCTAATAAGCATCTAGGACAAAGTGAAGAATATTAGCAAGACAGTAAACCTGTAGGAAGTATGTTACTTTTAAGTATTTTGATACATTGTAGGTGTGACATTTTCCTGTGTTTTAAACTTTTATGTTGTAGGATCGAACCATTACAGCATTGCGGGGTACTACAGTCTGAAGGCTTGTGACCAAGGCTTGGTGGTACGGTCCAAAATATTATGATATCTGTATCTAATATCTTTTATTAAATATGCAATATATGGATTACATTTCTGACTGAATACTTATAGAATCATGAATCTTAAAATATGTGACACTGGACGAAATAGGTTCGGATACACTCATATCACGCCCCGTATCTTTCCGTATTTCCTTACAAATACATGTACGAGCATATACAAGCAGATGCAACAGAATCTGGACACATAAAATATAGAATACAGAAAGATACGGGGCATATCTGAACCTATTTCATCCTGTGTGAGTCTTTGTGTTTTTAATACTCCCAGAATGTAAAAGTTTGTGATGTATGTTTTATGCAGGGCATGTCATTCACCAACACATCCCCACTGGTGGTGCCAACAAGAGCCAGGAAGGTAGGACAGTTAGTTATGACTTCTACATTTATCAAATTTGTGTCCGAACCTAGATCTGAATCACTTGCAGAAGAATGTCAACAGAATGTAGTTTGCCAGCACGAAAGCTGGATGTTCTATGGTTTCTCTTCAATGACCAATGTTGTATCAGAATGTCACCTGTTGCAAGTGATATTTCTTTACGATACAACACTTGAACACTATATGGGATGACATCTTAAAGTATTATTACGTGAACACAATCTTCAAACAAGATGATGTGCTGCCTGGTGGTGCTGGTTATATGACTTGAGGTTGTGTTTTCCCAGGCCACCCTGGGTACCAACCCCATCTCTGTAGCAGCTCCAGGGAAGGCGGGAGACAGTTTTGTGCTGGACATGGCGACCTCCACGTGTGCCCTTGGGAAGGTGGGTTTCACATGACTGACAGCTGTCAATCACAATGAGCGAGATGCCCAAGATAGGGTTTTGCTCAGTATTTATAGAATAGAATAGAACAATTTAGCAGTCTGTAAAATGTTCCTGACGTAAACTTGACTATAGTTAGAGCTACCAAAACTCAAACACATTCACATACATGTATATGGTGACAGAAGTCTAAATCCCTCCAACTATAAAATTGCAACATGATGTAATCCAACACCAGTTACCATGGTCACAGACAGTCTGACTCAGGTCATTGACCAGGTCAGAGGTCAGTGTTTGGAACAGAAGAGAAACAGAGCAAAAACAATATGTTTTCCTTTGTTAAACATGATAAAGAGAAAGTACATGTCCTCATGGTGTGACATGTTTCTATTTTCCCCCCAGATTGAGCTGCATGACAGGAAAGAGCTGCCCATCCCCACCAGCTGGGGAGTGGACTCTGCCGGCAGGGTAACTTACCATCTTTCTACATGCATTCAGGATGTTCTATTGTAAAATGGGGGGGAGGGATTTACTTTCATGTTCTTTCTTTTCAATGAGAGATAAATAAATTACTTCTTTTTCAATGATCAAGCTAATTGAGCAAAAATTCCCCCTTTATCTGCAGGAATCGACTGACCCAAAGCCTGTGTTGGAGGGCGGGGGTCTGATGGCGCTGGGAGGGTCAGAGGTCACAGGTTCGTAACCTCACAGTTAATCATCAATGAAAAATCGTTACCTTGATGCAAGGTCGAGAGTTTGAGGTTGACCACGAGAGTTTGAGGCTTGTATTTGACCTTGAGTATGTTTGACCTTGAGTGTGTTTGACCTTGAGTATATTTGACCTTAAGTATGTTTGACCTTGAGTATATTTGACCTTGAGTATGTTTTACCTTGAGTATGTTTGACCTTGAGTATGTTTGACCTTGAGTAAGTTTGACCTTCCCACAGGAGGATACAAGGGTTACGGGCTGGCCATGATGGTGGAACTGTTCTGTGGAATCCTGAGCGGCGGGGCTTACGGGCCGAACGTACGCAAGTGGAAGACTAATGACAGGGTCGCCAACCTGGTAAGATTTGGTCTTCTGTAGGTCCCCTTGGTTGTCCATCGTTGTCGATGAAGACTTCTGTATGGGTATTGATATTTGCTGTGCCCAAGAACCACAGGACAGAGGCAAATAGCGAGCTACCATCAAGCCCCAGCATCAGAGTGCAAGCATGTCTAACCCTCAGTTATGGAGAACAATAGACGAAAAACGATATCGAGAGAGATGTGCAACCATTATGGAACTGAGAGGTTATCTAGTGCTGTCCTTGGTGCTGAAATGGCTATGGTTATGAAACACATGACTGGCCCTGTCCCTGGTGCTGAAAGTGTAATCCTTTCCTCACTTTTCATGACTGGCTGCAGAATGTACTGCCTATAACAGAGAAAGTTGAGTCCTTTCCTCACTTCTCTACTACCTTCTCCAGGGCCAGTGTTTTGTGGCCATCGACCCAGAGGCCTTTGCTCCTGGGTTCCAGGATCGAATGCAGGACCTGATGGACCATTGTAGGAACTTGGAGCCGGTAAGACCGCTGGACTTGCATCACGTTTTTGTGTAGACCATGGACAGTGCTAGTGTGGTTCTCTATACCAGACTAACTATGCTGGCTATATATAGGAAAATATTTGTCAGGGTAGTTTGGTCGCCTTGGGGTTTGACTGGCTGTGGATGGAAAGAACCAACCTCCTGCGGACTGACTCCCCTGGACAATTTTACTCTCCTTGTTGCCAACTTCTATGATCCGTATTCCCATAGAAAGTTGCTAACAGTGTGGCATGTGCATGTGTAGAGAGACTTTAACTTTTGTGAGATGATATGAGTGACATTGTTAACAGAAACATGTAAACTTGTTAATTGACAGCTGTCATATGTTTCAGGCTGAAGGAGAGACTGAGGTGATTCTGTGTCTGTATCTGTATAGCTGATATAACCTTCGGCGTAACACACCAGCTTCGCAGGCACGCGGCGCGGCGGCAGTTGGCTACATTACACCGATCGACTTGTTACACCTAACCCTTGGACATCTAATTCTATACATTGTTTAAAGCTATCCAATGATAATGCCCCTACTGTACTTGGTGACAGGGAGTTCCACACTGCGATAGTTCTAGGAAAGATTGAGTTTTTGAACACCTCAATCCTTGGTTGATAACTTTGGTACTTGAAAGCATGGCTATTTCTTGTTCTTATCTGGGCTGGCATTAGGTACTTAGTAGGTGGGCTGGTCTAAGGTACTTAGATTGATTGATTAATTGATGGATTGATTGACATCTGTCATATGTTCCAGGCTGAAGGAGAGACGGAGGTGCTGGTAGCAGGAGACCCTGAGAGGAAACACATGTCCATGTGTGACGACCAGGGGGGTATCCCATATCACGTCAACCAGTTCACTCACTTGGTGAGTTCAAGGGGAGGGTATCTTAGGGGGGTACTTTATGATTGCAGGTGCCTCCTGCCTACCTGCCTATTGTAGGTGTGGGTGCCTCACAGGGGAGTGAAAAGGTAAAGTTAGTCCCATAGCCTTTTTCAGGCTGTAGTCAGGTACCCATTTTACACCTGGGTGGAGTGAGGAATTTAGTAATGTGAAGTGCCTTTCCCAAGGGCAAAAGATCGGTGACAGGGTAGGATTCGAACCCAGGACCTCTTGGCCCTGAGCCTAATATGCTAATATTAACCAGACAATGGATTTAGTAAGTTACAGTACAGGGGTGTGATTACGAAGAGTATGTCTCTACCTTTTCTAACCCTTTACTAGTAACTGAATCAGAATCTAGAATAATGTACACAGGGTGATACGTTTTTCTGATGGAAAATTCTCTATCATTTTAATCTCAAATCTGCCTATTTATACATGCACTGTGAAAAAATAGAAAAAAGAAAACCCTGGTAATGAAACTGATTTTGAAGTCAATAATTTCTTCCTTCCCTCTGCAGCAAAACCTGGCTAAGCAGCTTGAGGTGGAGCCGCTGAAGGAGAAAAACTGATCAGCTGAAAGACAGTGAAACAATGCTGTGCAATAATTATGGTCTACTCTACTCACAAGTTTTTATATCAGTCATAATTTCTTATATGCACAAATCTTAACAAAAATCCTCTAATGAATTGAGTTTCTATTGAAACTGTGGATAATGTATAATTTGAAATTTATTAGTAAATGGCAAACAGGTATTTACTGGATTGAACTGGATTGAAACTGTTAAACAATCATGACTTATAATGTTTTGGGATTTTAAGGAAAATATTTTATGGAATAAAACCTCATCACAAATGAATTTATTACCAGTATGTTTTTATTTTGCTTGTAACCATGGCATCATAGTGCCAAGCAGAGATAAGTCTTGCTCTTTCACAACACACTGCTAGGTGGTGTGTACCTTCTAGGTGGCTGCCATTTTTCTAATATGGCCAGGGTTGAGAGAGTTGGCATACCAAATAAAGGTATATCAGAACGTAAGCCCAGGTATTTTGAATCTCTGAGCAGATCGAACATGGGCAATGCTGGCACCATTGGCCTTCAGTGGCTCATGGTCACTCCTTTGGCCAATGGTTACTATGCAGAAAGGATGTATTGTAATGAGACCAGTGCTCAATTTTCTATCTTTTATTCAAACCATAAAGGTAATAATTTTTCATACATCTTGCACACATACTGGCCAAGTACCTACATGTAATACAAAAATTCAATGCAACTTGATACATAAGATTACATATTGTATTTGTTATATAAACCTGGTACATGATGATAACTGCACTTGAATAAAATCTGGTTAAAATATTCCTCAAAAGATATCACAAATTCCATCACTTTTACATAAGTGCAACTTGTTGAAATTATAATTATGGTAAATAACATCAGTAACTTTGTTAAAAAAAAGACCCTGATATGTCAAGATTTTTGGCTAATCAGAATTTTGCTAAAATTAAAAATGATTATTATTGACTGCATGATTTGCAAGATGATAAATTTGAAATCTGAGCCTGAAGCATTTCAATGTACTGGTAAAGGCTGAAGGTTAAATGCCAAATATAATACATGGGAGTAAAGGTGAAATGAGGCACAGTTAGAAAGGTGAAAGGTCAGATGCACATGAACTTGTATAAGGTTCAAGGCCAAAATCAAAGCACTCCATGACTCAAAGCAAACATCAGCTGATCCCTAAAAACTGCACAATAATCAAGAGAACACCAGGTATATTACTGCCAAAAAGGTCCTTTATAACTCACACCCTGATTATGTTTTTTGCTGCGTAAATACTGGTATAAATAATGATGAGAAGTACACTGCACATGTAAGTACTGTCCGTAGAGAAGCTGCAATTGTTTCCTTATAATTAAGTACTGAGTAGCTTTCACCCAAGTAATGCTGAGATCACATTTCTTAGCCGGGGCCCAGCCGGGCTGTTTCGATTAAGAAAAAATTGAAATAGTTCCCATGATTAATTTTTCAACTTTTTTGTGCTTTGTTGTCTGCTATCTCATACTTTTCGTTCCATAAGGCTGCCAGGCCGGGCCTCATTTGGGAAATGTGACCTAAGCATAAGGGCCTGGTCACATTTGTTATACAATCGTCATAGGATTGCAACCTGAGGGCATTCCTGGGTAAGTTGTGCATATGTTCCACAAAATTCAGTCTTTCAAATGAGAAGTGTCTCTTGGACCCATGTTGGTGGTTGGTTCTGTCACAGCCTGCTTGTATAAATGCTAGGATATCAAAATCGTATGACAGCCTACAGTAAATGTGACCACACCATATACATTGTAACTACCTAAATCTTGTGTGGCAACAGATTCATAGATACTGTAGGTGGTATATTCCTTAATGTTTCTGTAAGACTTACAGTTGATTTCCTATGTACGGACTGGCACTCCGAAAAATGTATTTTTTAATTGCTGTAGTGTAGCAAATGTATCAAATGTGACTTTCACACTGTTAAGTTGGTGGGGAGAAGTTACTAGTACCCTGTGCATAGTTTGTTTGACTTTCACTATAAATTATTCTACTCACTTCATATCCCTTTGTGGAAGAGCTACTAACAGTTATTGTTCACCATGTAGTCATGGTGTTTTTGGCAGAGGGGTGAGAAACATCACCATTACCGGTAAGTCGTAAAAAAACTCTTGTAATGAGAATATAATGTGTAGTACTGTAGTGTCGCCGAATAGCTTAGGTTGGTCTTCTAAAAATGATTTCTATAGCACTGACATTATCCAGTATAGTTTGTCCCACTCTTCCACTGTACATTAAATTTTCTAAAGGAAGTACATTTTGTAGAATGAAATTATAGGTAATTTATTCATAATCTCAATTTTCAGCAACTCTTCTATATCAGATTTCAATATCCTATTAATATACTGAGATGTCACATACAAACAAAGAAGAATCAGTCAACTTTTGTAAAAACTAAAAACTGCACTTTGCTACTTCGCATCATGAGGTCTCACAGCATGTAACACAGGATAGTGATGGTGACGTCTGACCACGTCAGTCTGATTTGGTCTCCTTCGATGTTTTTGCCCTGAAAGAGGAAAACATTTTATGTAAATGGCTACAATTTATTGGAGCAGGAAACATTCTTTTCATGAGACAGACACACACAAATGCACATGCACATGCACAAAGATACTCACACACACACAAATGTACACACACACACACACACACACACGCACGCATGCATGCACGCACACACGCATGCATGCACGCACACACGCACATACACGCACACAAACGTGCACACACACACACAAACATGCACACACACACACATCGTACAATGTAGTACTGTGCCCATGCGCCTGTGTGTGTGTGTGCATGTGTGTGCGCGAAGACTATCAAATTATGACCAAAAAAATAATAAACACCACTTCTTCCAGCCTTACCCTTCTCTGCCTGAGGTCCTGGGCTTGAGGACTTTCTTGAGGAACGGAGCAGCTGCTAAGAAGAGCAGGAAAGGCCAGTGTCCGGTGAAGTACAGGGACTGGTGGACCTGGAGGGCAGGTGGTAATGTCTTTAAGTGACTTTTTATGTGAATTTTTATGTGATACCTTGGCTGCGATAACATTTGATATGGGTGTTCTGGCCTGTGTGATAACTAGCTTTATATCATACCCGGGTCACGATAACATTCGATAACGGTGTTCTGGACCAGACCATACTTTACAAGTCAGGCTTCCATGGCTTCCATAGAATGGTCAAAACACATTTCGCTCTAACCGCGTGCACCGCTTTGTAAATTAAATACACTATACAGCACAGTGTTTTACACATCTTTGGTCCCTGGTATTTTGGGTGATACAGAATACATGGTGTTGTATTTTATAGATACATGTCCACTGAGCCAGGTGAGTGTAACAGGTGTGTTACACATAATGTAGACATGTGAGTCCTTACCTGCCACCACTTGGCAGACTTGAGCAGTGCGAAGGGTACGAGAGGATACCCCAGGTGGGCCAGCAGGACCAGTTTGAGGCTGATCAGTAGGACAGGCCTGATCACCGGATGCCTCACGACCGACGACACCAGCGGGCTGACCTTCATCAGGTCATGGGCCTAGGGACAAAGGGCAGAGGTCGTAAGTCAACATGGATAAAAGGAGGTCAATGATGTCAGCAGACAGACCTTCAGCAGGTCATGGGCCTAGGGACAAAGGGAATAGGTCATAAGTCAACATGAACAAAAGGCAGGTCAAAGACATCAGTGGACTGACCTTCATCAGGTCATGGGGCCAGGGACAAAGGGCATAGGTCATAAGTCAACATGAACAAAAGGCAGGTCAGAGATGTCTGAAAAGCAAAATTCAACTCTTCACGTCTCAGTTTGTATACTTCAAGTACTTTACAATTACTTTTAAGATCCCACCACACTTTTTGAAAACAGTAGAGGTCCTTCTCGGTGTGAGTTGTTCAAACCTTACAATCCAGTCTTACGCAGCTTATACTTGCAAAATTCTGACCTGTTTTTCAGCGTTGACGTAGACCAGTTCGAGGAAAAAGCAGGCGTAGTAGCCGGAGTGGAAGCCGTGCCACAGGGCCAGGAACATCAGGGTGGACAGCTGGGACATCATGCGGTTATTCAGGAACTTCAGACGCTTGTACACATAGCTGGGGAGGAAACACACAATGACTGGGGTTAGTTCTCAGATTATACATGTGCCGCTATGTTTTGACACCACCATGTTCCGAAAACCCTATATTCTGAGACCTCTATGTTCCAAAATAGGTCACTGATAGTTGGCGTTGGTGTCACAATGGTTAGAGGGATGGCTTTGGAACCAATAGGTCCTGGGTTCAATGCTCACCATGCATGCACCGACATTGTGCACTTGGGAAAGGCACTTTAAATGACTTCCCTCCCTGTACGGTGGAGTGACGCCCACCAAGCCTCAGATAGGATAATCTGTCTAAATGTGTGCCAAAAACACACTACGGGTTTGGGGTGCCAATGTGCCAACATCTGCACATTTGGAATATACTATATATAGTACGTGTTTGAAAAAAAAACCCTCTCTGCTAACATCTCTTGCATCATTATTACTAAGCATTTATTGTATCACTGATATGATACAACTCGACGGCACTTCAGATCTTTAGGTTACTATGCTCTCTCTCTCTATAAACTGCAGTACACAAACAGACTGCTAGGTGTCCTTACTGTGCAGCCCACTTGTTGGTGTTGATGTTGAAGGAGTCGATGACGTCCTGGAAGCTCATCACCATCTCAAACTTACTCAGCTTGATGTTCTTACAGGAGTCCCACAGGGGGTTTCCCTGCTCGTCCCTGCCGTTGTACGTCAGGCTGCTCAGGATGCAGCTCCCCTCCTGGTGGGGAGAATCAAGTGGTTCTTAAAACCCTATTAGAGCCTTCCAGTGTCTGAGCAAGAACTGGTAAATGTATGATCCATTGTACTTTGTAAATGTAAAACTTACTCTAAAAAATTTGTTCCATGAGTTCCACTCTGAGATAATTCTTGGAAAAAAAAAGGATTTTGAACACCTTGATACTTGCAATTGGTTGACAAATTGGTACTTGATGACATGACTTAACTACTAGTATCTCTTTTCTGAGCTGGTAACAGGTACATGTAACATTCAGTGTGTCCACCAATTTATTACTTGTATTCTACATCATACATAGTCTGCACATTTTCCTTCTGTCTTCAAGTGACATGTATGTAGGTTTGTTTTCATTTTGTTGACACTTAAGCAACCCTTTGGCCATTTGCAATTCTTCATACAGAATCTGAATCAGATGTGATTTGACTCTGCTGTTATCCTAGTTTTTGTTTTATGTACAAGATGAGTGAAACAGACTCACGGCCAGCAGCCAGCAGCCCACATACTTGTACAGCATCACCTTCCCCCAGATCAACACAAAGATGTACTTCTGTAACCACGACAACTCCTGTGGTAAACATAAACACACTGGTAACCATGGAAACAACTGGAGTAAACACAATCACTTCTGCAACCATGACGACTCCTGTGGTAAACATAAACACACTGGTAACTATGGAAACAATTGGAGTGAACACAAACACTTCAATCTGTATATAGTCTTTGCAGTTTCTGAAATAAAGAGAAAGTAAAGAGGCAACTATGGCAGCAACAGGAGTGAATATGAGCACACTTCTGCACTCATGACAACTCCTAAGAATCGATAAATATAAAGTTAAACACAGAATTGTATTCATGGCAGGTTAAAGAAACATGCATGATGGCAACTTTTCTGTCATCCTTAGCCATCCCAGGTACTTTCCAAGCAGAGGTTTGGGTTTGGGGTTATTTTTGGCGTGTTTTTACACTTTTTTATCAGGGTTTTTTTTTTGCACTGGAATTTTCCTTTTACCCACCCACTGGAATTTTTGTTGGGTTGGATGAAACAAAAATTCCAGTGCAAAAAAGAAAACCCAATAAAAAAGTCTAAAAACACGCCAAAAATAACCCCACACCCAAACCTCTGCTTGGAGAGTACATCCCAGGTACAATAGTCTGTTTTCTAACTCTAAGGCTTGCTATGTTTGAAACTTACAAAGAAGGCTGGCTCCGTCATGTAGTCATCATAGTAGTACCCATTCAGGATAGCAAAGACCACGGTGTAACCCAGCCCCAGGGCCATCCGCTTCAGCGCAGGAACAACACTGGAACAGCACAGATAAACAGTTAGTCTCCAAACAGATCATACTATGGCAAGGCAGTATCTATTGGCCAGAGGAGTGTCCATTAGCCACCAATTGATACAGCCTGGCCAATTAGCAACTATCTTTTACAGTCACCGAAAGATCTGCTTGGAGACTGCACAAACAGGACAGTGTTGGTTTAAACACTCATTTATAGACAGGTTACACTCGTCTCAGACTCTTTCTGTCACTGATGAAAGATAGCAGATGCTATCTGAAACATCTGACTCCAAGGAGAATTTATCCAGCAGTTTGCTTGATTCATTTTGCATTACATAGTGAACATGTTATGCACTGATCCTCTTGACATTTAGAAGAACTGCAGGACATAGGAGTCTGTCTATACTGGAGATTACTTCATTGTTCTCACCAAGCAGGGCGTTTTCCCTCGGTGTTGTCAGTCAGTTTCCCCTCTATCATGTCCAGGTACATCCGCATGGGGAACTGGGAACATAAGACGGGCACTGGAGTTAGAAGGAGGGAGTGAATAGGTCACTGAGAGTGAATGGGTGAATTAGCCAGAGAGTGAATGAAACATTACCCAGTACCAGGAACATTAGATTCAGCACAGCCATTTGTTTTTAAATTAGTGTTAGAATTCAAATTTTTCTTGTTTTTATAATCTTGCAGGACCCCTTTCCAAATTAGTTTATTTTCCAATAAAATTATTCTACCATTGATTTGCCCCCACAGAGAACCACTCAGTTTTATTCTAGCCATTATAGTATACAGAAATGCCAATGATTCATTCTCAGTCTTCATACCCCTGCAATGCCTTCCCAAGAGTCCTGCCTTCTTCCACTTAGAACCAACATCTATTTTAGAACTCTGTTGAAGGGTTGTTTCTTTACCAGACTTTAGGCAAGGCACGACTAACATGTCTGCTATTGTTGGGCAAGTAGCTGTATGTCATCAGGCACAAAGAGTACAACAGAGTCATCAGACTTCATTCTTCTCCAAGTAACAAAAGTACCCACGTCTCAATACCACCCAGGCTAGAGGTCATACACATGACAGATGCTACGTGACCTTGGGACAATGCTTGTAAGGACTCTTGTGACCTTGTTCTGCTTCAAGGTCATGTCTATTTCCTCCTGAAAGAAAGAGCTAGTGTTCTGTGTGTCAGTGCCACCCTCTGTGGGTCACACACATGCCAGATGGAACACGACCTTGGGACAGCTCTATCAGGAACAGCTGTCCTGCTCCAAGGTGACCTTGTAGCTCCAGCTCAGACGTGATGCCACATTCCATAGTTGCCATGGCAACTGATGAAGCCTTACAGAGCATGTCCTGATGAGGAAGGTTCCCCATTGTGGCAGATCTAGCTTTGGAAGGTCAAGCACCACTTTGGAATGTTGACGGTCTCTTGGCCACAGAAATGTTTGCACATGATTTGAATCTAGTCACTACTGCATGCGTCCCTGTTTTTTTATGTTACAGCATCTTTCATTTAACCGTTAAATAAGGACAAATACATGTATATGTAATGTTACGACACTCATGTTCCAACATAGGGTTAGCAACACTTAAACTACAAATGTACCACCTTAATATACAGGTTAGTGCAGGTAAAATTGGAGCTGTGCAGGTATTTCTAATGTCTACCTGCACCTACATGTAACCTACACTGGTCCATGTACTGGGTATATGCAGGTTAGTGCAGGTAAAATTGGAGCTGTGCAGGTGTTTCTGAGGTCTACCTGCACCTAACCTGCACTGGTCCATGTACTGGGTTTATACTAGTATTGTGTGTATGTTGGAACATAGGAATGTAACTTATAAGCAGGTGTAGTTCATTCAGGACCACCCTCTATATGGCAATACCCACCTGTGGTCCCACTAGAACTCCCCCGAAGTGAAAAGAGTGTCCGGCCACAGCTAGCAGACTGGGTAGACTGGTCAGTCCCAGTTTCTTCTGGTCAGCGGACTGCTGGGCCTGGAGACAAGTGGGACATGAAGTATTTTAACAGCTAGGTATTATTCTTAAATTTATTGGTGACACCAAAAAGCAAACCTTACAGCAGGGATAAGACTCCCTGAATTGCAAAGAGGTTGCAAGTATGTAACCCCTCGGAGTAACCCTCAAATTTGAAATGAAGGCCTTACTGGATCCTTGCCACCATCATAATAGTCCGTCACCAGCCCTGGAAACAATGAAACAAAACGAACAGTGAGTCATACACCCGCTAAAAATAGTAATAGCAGAAAAACACACGAAAAACATGATATCATTTTACTATTGTCACACATTTGAAAAATACAAGTACTGAATAATTGGCTTTTATTTTTAATTAGTTTTGTACCTACCGATGAGACGTAGAGTCATGACACAGTGAGGTGTGGTCCACATGACATCGTAGGTGTTGGAAGCACAGAAGTGGTACCCGGCTAGCAGATAACCCTGCAGATATAACATAAAAGGGGAGAAACTTTTACTTCTTGTCCTCTTGCTCAATTTGTCCTTAAAACTGTCTACCATGGCAACTACAGGACCTTTAACATGGCAACTACAGAACTTTTAACATGTCACTATGGCAACTACAGAATATTTAACATGTCACCATGGCAACTACAGAACTTTTAACATGTCATCACGGCAACTACTGAACTTCAGAAGCTTTAACGTGTCACCATGGCAACTACAGAAACCTTAAATATGTCACCATGGCAACAACAGAACCCTTGAACATGTCACTATGGTGACTACAGAACAACAATAAACTGTCACTATGACAACTATAGAATCCTTTAAGTTCAATGTGTCACCATGGCAACTAGAGAACCCACCATGTTGAAGAGGAAGGCCAGCTGTACAGAGAGGAGTTTTGGTCCGATTGTTCTCATCAGCAGGTAGTTTGTGAAGACACAGATGACATGGTGGAGGATGTCGGTACCTACGGAAGAAACTCAGCAGGTCAAACTCTGAACCCTGACCTCTAACCCTGACCCCTAACCCTGACCTCTAACCCTGATCTCTAACCCATACACTGATACATCAGCAGCAGGTGGTTAAATATGATTATGAACACATAGGTACGTAACATGGTGAGGTATAGCTTTCTAGGTAGGTACGTAACATGGTGAGGTATAGCTTTCTACATTACTACTTTCTACATTACCAATACAAAGTAAATCATGACATTGGATTTTTTGGTTCTGTCTTATAAGTTGTAATTTCTAACATCATTTTTAGTTTTTGCTTGCAGACTGCAGGCCATGTTTGGATATTTCATGCCTTTATCACCCATTACAGGGCCTACAAACTCACCAAAGTTGGCATACAGGATGGCCAGTCCTGTCAGGGAGAAGTAGATGTGGTGTAGCGTAGCCGACTTCCCAAACAGGAACTGCCGCTGGAAGTAGGCCAGGGGGTAACCTACAAACAAACAGTTCAAAAGAGGGAAACATTCAGGCACAGGGTTCTGTTTACATTTCAGTTCTGTATTTTGCCATGCTGTAATGTTCCACGTTGACATCTAGCCTGGTGTCCAGCCTTGTTAGCTTTAGTCCGCTACCCAAGATCCGCTCCCCGCTGACTAAAGCTAACAAGGCTGGACACCAGGCTACATCTAACCTTCATTGACATATCAGTGGTTATGAAACAATCTAGAAACGAGTAGAAACGGTAAAACCCCTGATTCCCAGAATCTAACCCGCACAGCCAGCTTCAGATGCCAGTGTGCTAACGACTACTCCAAAAGGTTACTAGTAGTTAGTGGCACTTGCACCCCACTGTTACACTTACATTAAAATATCCCAGCGATCATTTCATACTACTAGTACTAGTATTTAAGCTAACGACATCATTCACAATATTGACCACAAAGAACTTATTGGTACCTGCCAAGAGATAGATAAAATTAAAAAAAAATAATAATAATAATTCACCTGCGAGAAGGCCGAGGATTAGGGTGAGGGAGGCTTCATTGGTCCCGAGAGCACCTGCTAATGTCTTCACAAGCCCGAAGTCTGCCATGGCTTTCAGCTGCACACCTGTCCAGTGCAAACACACCTGTTAAGATATACATCTGTTCAGTTGTACACATGGGGGAGCATAAATACACTACTGACATGAACTTTTGATTTTTTTATTCCCAGGTTAAAAACACAAATTCACAAATTATTCCCAGGTTTCATGAAAAAACAAACAAGAACCCGAGGTCTGCCATGGTCTCTGTAGACACACCTGTTCAGCTGTACACCTGTTCAGAGCAAACACACCTGGGGCGAGGGAAATGTTTTGAACTTAGAACCTTTGGATTCTAAGTCAAAAACCACAAGATCGCCTTGCCACTTGCAGTTATTTGTAACGGTAATATGTATGTCAAAAATCTGAAAATCAAAGTGGTGAATGTGGACTGCTGGGGTTCAAACCATCTGTATATTAATAGGGTACACATAGTCGAACTTTAGATGGATGCCCATTTACAGTCATGCATGACGGAATGACTGATTGTGTCGGTGTAGTTTTACAAATGAGATACCAACCTCTAGCGCTGTGACCATATAGGAATACTAGTTCTGTTTAGCTTTGCCGCCTTCCTACAAGCAAGGACATTTATCTTCATACCCCCCATGCAGACCCTTAAGTTAACAATATGTAGTTGCATCTTGGTTTCTCTATATAGTATAACCTCCTTCGTTGTGCAAAATACAACATTGTTCTGTACCCTGCCCTGCCCTATGTACTAGTACTTAGGTTAATTTTTGTTGAAACATTTGTTTAGTGGTAAGGCAGGGGAAGGGAGGGGGCGGGCCTTCATGACAAGAACCATGCAAGAACTAGGACAAGTCAACAACAACAAGATTAAAACAGCTGCAGCGAAATACTTGACATTAGGTTCAATGCTGGCTTTCCTTCCTTACCTTGTAGCGCGGTCCCGTTAGTTTTTGAGGCCCGTAAACACACCCGACAGAGCGTGGATAATTTCCTTGCCTCACGCCTTGGTTCCGCCTAGGAACGAATGACCTCATGTAACCTTTGACCAACTCGTGCCCAGGATCTCTTTTGTCTCATAGATAACTACACCTATGTCTGATTGAATCAATTGTTAAAAAAACAAACTATCACATTTTTTCTCGCATTCTTAATAAAAAATTACTCTCTATAACTATATATACATGTATGTTGTATGATTTTTAATCACTAGTCCAAGCAGTGCCCTGGACATGAGAGCGCCAATCTAGGGGATTACGCATGCGGGGTAGGGCATTAGATAGAGACATCTAGGTCGGGCAGTCTACCTTGCCATAGGGGTAAAAGTGTTTTTTTATATAAATAAACATCTATATGTAGCAATATCAACTTGAATATATTTTTGTTTCACAAAGGATAAACAGTAATATATATCGTTATATGTATTAAATATACATAAAATTTAGATACTTATACTAAATAAATACGTTGCTAAAATCTTGTCTCCTTTATTATTATGCAATATGGAACAGTCCGCTTGCCTCGCTAGTATTTGCCGCCATATTGGACAAAAAGGTGGGTCGAAATTTTTCTACAAAGTTCTGGACTTATTTTTAGCGCCCAGGAAAGAAGCTGTGATCCCTAAGCTTTGAGAACAGTTTCTAAAGGTGTAGGAGAACTATAAACTGTTAGTATGTGGCGTTTGTAAGGTTTTGAAACCTTGTTCTTTCGGGATAAAATTATGCTCTGATCTGGGACATGCACAGGGCACATGAGGTCATGAGATCGGAATCTCGTGTCCGGGGATTTTCTAGCTAAAAAGTTAGTAAAATGAATACCGCGAAAGTCGAAGTGGACATAACTTAGTACGCATAGGTGCTTGTAATTAAGTGGTTTAAAAAAGGGATTCACTAAACTATATACGGATGAAGTCCTTTTTTTTGGGGGGGGGGGTGATATAATTTTTTGAGAAGTGGTGCTGACTGTACATGTGTTGGATTTCTGCAAAATACACACTTAAAAGTCCGGATCTAAACCCGAGGCATATAGAAAATTGCATGTTGGCAAATGTTTTACATGCAATTTGAAAAACGTATATTATAGAGTCAGTAGTAAACACAACACCATCAAATTTTTTTCAGATGCAAAACTGCAGGTTGCTTAATTTTTCTTCTTCAAAAAAATTATGTTGAAAATGTCTGCAATTGAAGACTGCAGATGCATATTTCTAACAGTAACCGCTACCGGCCGAAAGCATATCGTGGGAAGCAGACGAAAGCTAAAAAAAAGGCTAAAACTCTTGCTTGTGTCCTCAGTTGAACCCTAGCCACATCAACAAATCAGTATGCAGTACGTACGCGTGACAGACGATGAGAACGACGAGCCCATCGAGCTCCCGACGGAAGACGACGGCACGATGCTCCTGTCCACTATCATGGCGCAGTTTCCCGGTGCCTGCGGACTCAAGTTCCGCAACCCGGAGACGCAGACGATGAGAGGGATTCGCCTGGTGGACGGGATTCTGCACCCACCTGAGGGGGTCTGGGGATCACATCTCTTTATTGTCGTCTTCCCCAAAGGTAAACAGACTATGCTTAAGTTATAAAGGCATCAAGGTATCAAGGTATAAATCTTAAGTTTTATCAAGGTATCAAGGTATAAATCTTAAGTTTTAAAGTTGTGGTTGCGCATGCGGACTCAAGTTCCGCAACCCGGAGACGCAGACCATGCGGGGCATCCGCCTGGTAGATGGGATTCTCCATCCACCAGAGGGGGTCTGGGGATCACATCTCTTCATTGTTGTCTTCCCTAAAGGTTAAACTGAGATCTAGTATATTATCTTCTTAACATTCATCATGCTTTTCGCTAAAGTAAAACAAACTCTAAACCAGTCTTGTCAATCTTTTGTTCAGACTGGACTGTACTCAGTTTTAGATAACACACATGAGGTCCACCTTGCTAATTTTTAGTTAAGTGTACCTCCATAAAGATTAGACAAACTAGGATCCAGCCTTACTAGTTTGTAACTTGTAGTTCAAACTTGTTCAGTTCATGGTCCTCTCTAAAGGTACCAGACTGATATCCAGCTTTGCTTTAAATCATTTTGTACCCCCCCTTCGTCCCAGTTCATCCTATACTGCACCAACCTGATAAAACTATTTTTTAAACATTGTTTGTTCTTAACAGACAACAAGAGAAAGATCGACGAGAGTCCAGAGAACAACCTGGTGAAACGGCCGCGGGAGAAACTGAAGTGCAGCGACCTGATTGTGCTGGGTCTGCCCTGGAAAACCACCGAACAGGAACTGAGGGAGTACATGGAGCAGTATGGGGAGGTTCTCATGGTCCAGGTACAAACACACAGTTCTCACAAGTCTTCTCACACAGTTCATCTATCAATGTTAGATTCTAACTTACTGTAGATACTGTAGCTATAGCTGGGTCTGCCCTGGAAAACCACCGAACAGGAACTGAGGGAGTACATGGAGCAATATGGGGAGGTGCTCATGGTCCAGGTACAAAACACACAAAGATTTTCTCACTCAGCCCTGTAGTTACATCTATGTCTAACTTAGACTAACTAGATAGCTGCACCTTAAGATGCACATATACTAGGTGTATGTTTATTTTTATTTGCTGTACAAAATGACTATAGATCAACTGTTTTAGTTCTGAGCAGTGCAGGTAAAATTTGTCTGGTGCAGGTAATTTTCAATCCTTAGACCTACCTGCACCAGTGCAGAATTGCAGAAATAAGTATCTGTAAAGCCTGTGGTGCAGGCAGCAGCAGCTGCCTACATTACTCTAATCGAGTATTTCGAGCCTTGTTAACTTTTCTTTACGTTTGCTTTGCAGATAAAGAAAGACCCGAAGACGGGAAACTCGAAGGGGTTCGGTTTTGTCCGGTTTGCGGAGTACGAGGTACAGCTGAAGGTCATGACCCAGCGTCACATGATCGACGGCCGATGGTGCGACGTCAAGATTCCGCACTCCAAGGTCGGCGACTTCGAGGTGACTGACAGGAGAGGAGTTAAACAGACTCTCAATCAATCTTACATCTTATAGAACCTATGTTTATTTATTTATTTCATCTTAGGACGGCTGGGTAGCCCCATTCAGCTTACATTAGCTGTTTTCCAAGGGGGCCCAGCAAAATTACACAAGACATTGTTACATACAGTAAGATAACATACAGTAAACATAAAAGTCTGATGCGTCAAAACAGAGTCATAGTCCTATACTCAAAGTCCTAGCCGTTCAAAGTCAATACTTTGCCAAACTCTGAACTATAACTTACTTTCATGTATATCATAGAAGCATTCTGGTGTGATGGAAATTCTATGGTAAATGTTTTGGGCAAAAGGTGTGAGATTCCATGTAACCCGTATCCCAAAGGTGTGGCCTTTGGTCCCATCTTTTTACATGGTATCCCTGAGATTGCATTTGTCTTCAGTTCTAACCATACTTCCTTCTCCCCACCAGGATGAGGGGGTGAACATGAACGCACTGCTGTCGAGGAAGGTGTTCATTGGCCGTTGCACAGAAGATATGTCCGCCGAGGACCTGCGCAGCTACTTCGCACAGTTTGGCGAAGTCACCGACGTCTTCATCCCCAAACCCTTCCGAGCCTTCGCCTTCGTGACGTTCCAGGACGGGGAGATCGCGCAGAGCCTGTGCGGGGAGGACCACATCATCAAGGGCGCAAGCGTCCACGTCAGCAACGCGGAGCCCAAGCACTACCAGCAGCAGATGATGCAGAACCAGGGAAACTTCGGCCAGTCCGGCGGCCGCCAGAACCGCGGGCAACAAAGCCAGGGCTACAACCAGTTTGGGAACCAGTTCGGCAACCAGTTTGGGTACCAGAACCAGCCCAACCAGGTTGGGTTTAACCAGATGGGGGGTAACTTTAAGGGGAACAGCCCGAACAACATGGGAGGGAATCAGCAGGGGATCCCGAATAACCTAGGTGCTCTGGCGGCATCCATTGGAGGGTTTCAGATTAACCCTGCCATGGTGGCCGCCGCGCAGGCCGCGCTCGGACAGAGCTGGGGCATGATGGGAATGCTAGCCAACCAGGGTCAAGGTCAGCAGCAGCAGGGTCAAGGTCAGGGGCCGCAGCAGGGCAGCAATCAGAAAAGCCAGATGGGGGATTCGTCGCAGGGGGGTTATGGGAACCAGGGGGGTGCGAGCGGGTACACGAGCATCGGGTGGGGAGGGGGGAGCCAGAGTGGGGAGGGGGCGAGTGGGGGGATGGGGACTACGCAGGGGGGTACAGGGTACGGGTACCAACAGGGGGGTATGAAGGACGGCCCGTCCGGGTGGGGGATGTGAGTTGAGTTGTGTGGTGGGGGGTGTAGGAAGGGGTTTTGTACAGAGGGCAATTTTCCATTCATGTAAAAATCAAGGTTCTTCTATCTGAGAGGGAGGAAAGTTGGAGGAATGTCTTGCATGGAATGAAAGCTTCCTTTTTTGTTTGGTGAGGATGAAGTCGGGAAATTGTCACAGTTTTTTTCTTTTCGTTAAATTGCACATTTTTCTGCAATGTGCTGCTCCTGCAAGTAGAAACGTAGTAAGACGTAGAAAGTCTTATTGTACCGAGATCAGCTCATTTTTTTCATGGGCATTGTTGTGTATGTTGCCTACATATTGTGTAGTCCTGGTGTCCCCCATGTGAAAGTGGAATGTGCTGGTGTCCCCCATGTGAGAGTGGTATGTTCTTGTGCTCCACACGTTGCTTTGTGTTGTCTGTTTCGTCACAAACAGTTGAACAAATTTCTTCTGGTCACAACCTGGCCCAGGTAAGGTGCTGCCTGGTTGGTATGTTTCCATGGAAATGACACGTTACCATGGAAATAGCATGTTACCATAGGAATGCCTGTCTGAGGTGACGTCTGTGAGAAGTGGCCGGCCCTTTGTGGTTCCAAAGACCCGATTTGCTGGCAAAAACCTGACAGTATAAAAACTACACATGTATGTGCAAGTGCACGGAAACTGTGTGCATCAAATTTTTTCTGGGTGTGAATCAAGCTACTTTGGCATAGAGCAAGAACGTGCATTTAGATTGTACACCAGCCCTCAAGGTAACATACAAACTTGATGCACGATCTTGCGAAAACAACCTGATTTACACGCACGAAAAATTTGGCGTATGCAATACTAAGTACTTGAACACGTGCATACGCAGTTTTCATACATCAGGTTTTTGTCTTAGTGTGTAAATCAGATGGAAGTCTCCATTTAACACCTACAGGTTCAGTGTGAAGTCTGAATGGTGGCCAGGAAGTTTGCTCCAAACTCCTGTTTATATACGTAAGATATCTCCCCTGAAAAGCAGAACTATTGTATGAAGCAGTATGTTGTGAGCTTGTGTGATCTGAGGATATGTTCTGCTTTGAAAAAGAATATTGTAGTGTTAGGAATTTTTTTTGGCAAAGCTTTTGGTATTCACAAAATCTCTACTGGATAACTTGTAATTAATTATAAACGGATAGAAGTTGTGTGATGTCAGGATGTGTTCTACTGATGCTGTATGATTCTGGATGGTTTCAATTTGAAATATTTCCTGTGAAAAAACTATTCTATAAGGTTGCATGTCAAACCTAGAACGTGTGATGTGCGGATATGTTGACTGTGGTATACCTTTTGTCGTATAAATCAATGTGAAAATTGCTGTCCCCTCTCCCTTAAAAAGGCTAAGTGAACATTACTGCATGTTCTGAGAGCACTTGTATGATGTGAGAATATTTCCATCAGATTGTTAGTTTTCTAGATGTCTTACTTATAGCAGCTGTATATATATATATATAATATACATGCACATGTATGTTAGATGTATAGATTGTATGGTGATGAGTATACACTAGTAGACGCTGCAAGTTCATGTTGGAAAGCTGGGATGAGAGAGACTGAGTGATATTCTCCGTGAACTGCTCCACAGTGAGAGAGAGAGTGACGCCATGATTGATCAGTGTAGACCGTGTAGACTGGCTGTCTATGTTACGTTGAGCAAGAGGCTGATGAGTGGAGCGAGAGTACGTTTGTCCGCCCAAGTGGACACTTCTATAGGAAACTTGACGCACAAGTGATGAGCGATTGACACCAAAATCTACGACTGAAGAAGACCGTGCGTGTTATGACAGCGAGAAAAGTTTGCAACACACCAGAACGCACGCATGAGTGATTCGTGTACACCAGACCGCTGAATGAAAAGAAAGAAAGAAAACAAAACAGGATGCTGACAGAAGAGAAAATGTGTTACGACTGGAAGAGTAGAACATGAGCGCACGTACGCAGACTGAGGCAAGAATGTGTAGGTTTTGCGTTACCTGGGTGATTGTCTGCAGACTGGTCCGGTTTTCGCTGCATGCGTGGCTGAGTGTCAGCTGAACAAGGCACGACTGTTGTCTAACTTTTCATCTCCAAAGTTTTGCCTTTATAGGTTGGGAGATCACCCGGCTCCGGGAAGCGACGAAACGACGTGGCAAGACGTACACGCACAGGTAACGTGTGACTGCGGAATGGCAGGCCTCACCTGTAGGCACGTGTGGTAGGCAGGTGTGCAACGCCTACACCTGTACAGTAGGCAGGTGACTGGTAGGGTTGATGCTGACTATATATTTTTGTACTGAAATCTGTACGTTTTGGAGACAGGAACCAGAGATGTGTGAATCACAGCGAATGTTGGAATAAAGTGACAGCCATTAACGATACCTTTGTCTTTGTGGTCTTTTCTCCATGTGTGTTACCCTTAGGTTTCTGGTGTTAAGATGTAGGGTACTCAGCCTAGGATTTATTTCCTTCGTTCCAAGACACAAAATCTAGCAAGAGAACAACATGAAGACATGTAGCCTCTACCAGGCTTCTGGAGGCGGCTGGTAAGAGTAGAAATTAGCCAAACAGAGAGCTAACATGCCAAGGGAGTTTGGTCAGCAGGAGATAACAGTTTGCCGCTCCCAAAGCCTGTGCGAAGTCGCTACGATCAAATGGTATAAAAGTTATCTCCACAGGCTACAAAACACGGGGCTTGGAGGAACGTTTTCTTCCTAATGATTGTGTTGTTTTATGTCCAATCTTACGTCACAGAAGAGGCATTTAATCTCAGAAATGTAACAATGTGTTTCTTTAATCAGGAGACAAGCTCAGACACACACATTACATGATATACACACGAGTTCATGGATACATGGAGAGTATTGCACGAAGTCACAACACGTACCACTGTGCTATGGTATAGGTGGAAGCTCGGGCAAATATACAATCTACAAAACAGCTCATAGTTACCGAGGCAGGGAAATGCAATCTATGAAGACTGCCATGGTTTTTCTCAAGGCATCTCACTACTGATAAGAGTATTTATCATTAATTATCATCAACTACGGGCAGCCGTTGAGTCTTGGTAACTGGCAGAATACATTGGACATTGCCTGTTTTGTCTCTGTTCTGTACCATTTTTGATAGCCTGGTTGCCAAACCTATTTCAGCTGCCAAGTCTCTTTCCTCCTCTTTGCAAATAGGACCTATTTGCAAAGAGGACAGAAGAAACATGGCAGCTTAAATAGGTTTGGTAACCAGGCTACATTATTGATACTTAAATTTCACTTAACTCTTAAATGCAGAGCTTTATTAAAAGTCAAGAAAATTTCTCCCTAGCCCAATTGACGGACATGAGGTAAAACTAGTATGTAGCTCTCGACATTTTGCTCTCTGCATTCCTGAATCTGACTTATATTATATCCACACATAGCTCACAACCTGGAGAAGTTTTAAGTCAGCTCACAACCTGGAGAAGTTTTAAGTTTAGTAAGACTGTCCTGCATTCATTCTACTACGTTCTCGACTATGTATAACTGCACTGGGCATCAAGGATACCTCTGTGCAAAAATTCTGTTCAACTGTAAAAACATTGCATTCTAGAAGCAAAGTCAACTACTGTAACAGTTATAAAGTCTCAAAAAACAACTTAATTCTGATTAAATAGAATTCATCACAATCATAAATAGCTTAGCACAGTAGCATTCTTACTATTAATCTTTCCACATTCTTGGATAAACGATTTCCCCCCTTACCCTAAAATTGCATCAACATTTTGCAGACTATTTTGCAAACTGGAAGTACTGGAGCTGCTGCATGCATATTGCATATATGTACAACACATAGCAGCGATCGTTGTAGTCAAATAAAAAATGTATCATTTTCGCCTGCATTAGTAATCTCCAAGCGATCTTTCGGTGGCAAGACCGTATCCATTGGCCAGAGGAGTGTCCATTAGCCACCGTATGGGAAATGGATACAGGATGGCCAATGGATACGGTCTTTAGCCACCCAACCGAAAGATCTGCTTGGAGATTATGCATTAGCTGGTTCCTTTTTATAGTTAATTACTTTTGCATCCGATACATATACAATGTGCAAGGCAGCGAGTTTCTTGACTTCTCAATGACTGTCTCAAAACATGACATTTCTTGAAAAGGTCTGACTGTCTGAACCTTTACCCTTATGACAAGTCTTTGTCTCAACGTGTTGGCAATCTTTATCCTTAGAAACAGACCAAACCCTGAGAGCATTTCATAATTTATCAACATTCCCAGTTTTGGATCAAAAGGTCTGTGGTTCGAATCCCAATTTGCACATTAATTACTGTGTGGGTCAGTAGGTCCCAGTTCCATGTTCGAAAGGGCCCTATGTCACATACGTCATGTGAAAGGGTACGTCTGCAAATACTGAGGACAGTCATGCATTACAGTTAAACTTTGCACTCGTACAAAATTTCTGCTGTCTTGACAAAAAAGGTTGCCATAGATTCTTGTTGCATGGTTCTGTCACAGCTGATATTCCCACAATAAAACATTATCTTTAACGTTTACGTGTTGGTTGAAGTCATTATGAAGCACGTTGAAATTTGAAATAAGAATTTGGACTTCTCCAAAAGCACCCACAAGCACATTACTCGTACGTACCAGACATACAAACATCTCTTACTATCACTCTCTTATCGTATAAATCGATAAAACATCATTAAAACATAAAGTCAGCTTTACAGCAACGTTAACTTAAACAGACTTTCGATGCTGTTATAGGATCTTACAGTACTGTACAAAAGACTAAGCTGCCCCAAAACTTCATTAATTTTCTCACAAAAGCATACAGCTAAAAAATTGCATCAGAGATATTGTGACAAGTTATAATACAGTAATGTACAAAAGACTCGATTATATTGAATTGCTTGCATATTATCTGCTTTTTGTCCACTCCTATTTTTGGAGCTTGGGGCTTTTAGGACTAAGCTAGCTCCTTGATCAACTTGTCAAATAGTCTAAAACAGCAAAAAGTAGTGAAGAACTATTCAGCTAGACTGCAGGTATCTCTGCTTAGTCTCAAGTACAGTCTAGTCATTCCAGCAGAGACAAATGAGTTGAACATTGAAGATTTTTTTTGTCTTGTAGAGCAAAAACGGAATCCACAGGATTTCATTCTGAGACCCCTGATTGGCTGTGGATCACATGTTCACAAACCAGGAACCTTCCTGATTGGATCATGTGTTCACAAAGCAGGATGCAAACTGATTGGCTGTTGATCACATGACCGTCCAACAGGACACATCCTGATTGGCTGTGGATCACGTGGCCGTGCACCAGGATGTGTCCTGATTGGTTGCGGATCAAGTGACCGTGCAAGAGGATGCATTCTGATTGGCTGTGGATCACATGACCTGCACCAGGACATGTCCTGATTGGCTGTGGATCACATGACCGTCCACCAGGAAGCATCCCTATTGGCTGCAGATCACATGACGGTGCACCAGGAAGCGTCCTGTGCGAGCTGGGCGCTGCTTCTGCGCCTCCGCCGCCCGGTCTCGATGTCGTCCCTCCCGTCCTCTTCCTCGTCGCTCTCATCCTCGGAGTGTTCCACCGGCCCAGCAAACGTCTCCTCGTAGTGTGCAGCTATCACCTCTCTGGAGTAACAGCAGGAAGTCATTCATTATCATCATGAATCATAACTACTGTACCCCCAAATAACACAAGCAGCAATCACCTCTTTGCAACAACAACATGGACAGGAGACATTCATGTGGAAGGTTTTTGCATGGGAAGACTTCCTGGAGGAAGTGGGAACCACTAAGGATACCTGAAGAGCCTCTGGAAACAACTTATACCTCTCAGTCGGTAGTGCCTGGTCCCAGACCAACAGTTCGCTCCCTCCTGTGACGAAGCGATGCCGGTTGGTGACTTTCGTGTGCGCCACACAGGTCAGTCTCCCCGCCTCGTCATCACACAGGGAAGCCAGGTACTCGCCACTGGGCAGGCTGCGCACTGGGGGTCAAGGTCATACAGGTCAGGTCAAGGTCATACAGGTCAGGTCAAGGTCATACAGGTTATGTCATGGTCATACAGGTCAGGGTCACAGGTTTGTCAAGGTCACAGATATTTCAAGGTCATTAGGTCACACTAAGGTCAAACAGGTCATGTCAAGGTCATATAGGTCATGCAAAGGTCAGACAGGTCATGTCAGTGACAAACAGGTCCCACTAAGAGTAATTTTAAGGTCATACGGGTCATGCTACATGTTTAAGACGATTGGGTCATGACTTTTTTTTTGCGTTCACATATCCAATTGTGTTTTGATACTACAAATTTTATCCGTACCATTGAGATATCCGATGCCGGTGTCCAGATCGTACCCGGAGCTGACCAGCAGTGTTCCCTCCACAGCCACCATGCTGTCTGTGGACCCGAACCCTCGCAGGTGGTTAGGCAGCTTCTGTACTGTTCCTGTAAAACACACGTTACAACAGAGCTAGTGAGCAGTGAGAGGGTTGCTGTACAGTAGGCTTATAACATATCGATTTAACAAAGAATTGACATGTTAGATGAGTACAATCAAACTTGTACTAATTTTGTACTAGTGGCTATCATTATAAGAACTACAGACTAATACCTGCCAGTGGGTAATGTGGCCACTTTTTGGTGGTCCCCTAAGATTACTTTTCCCAACTACACAAGCATAAAGAATCCTGTCTATAGTGACCATTATTTTTTTCCATTAAGAGGTCACTTTATAATTTAGAAATAAAGGCTTGATATTTCATCAAAATTGACCACAGGAAACTAGCCTCCATAGCATGCCAAAAACTGGGGGTTTTGGTGGTCTTTGGGAGCTTTTATGTGCTATTTTCTGATTGCATATAGACAACATAGCCGGCCTGGTTGAATTACCACCGTTTTTAGAACTGGGCGCATCAGAAAACAGCCGAAGACCACCAAACCCCCAGCTCTATAAGCCTGCTATGGAGGCTAACACGATACCTACCGGACTTCCAGTCCAGGACTTTAATGTTGGTTCCGTCGTCGCCGTAGTAAATCTTGTTGTTGGCGTAGGCCAGTGATAGGATGGGCCTGGCCTTGAGCGGGCCGGGCGGGTCGCACTTCACACTCTCGTTCACGTACACCACGTGCAGGTTCTGGTCGCGGATCTCCCAAACCTTCACCACGCCTTCCTCACAGACACTGACCACGTGTGTTCCCTCAACCTGCAACACAGTAAAATAACTAAAAATACTCACATGTACAAGCACTTTTGCAGAACGTTATGTGCATTCTTGTTCTAGCAAGTGTCTGTCTTTTTGTCATTTGGGAGAATTTCACTGTTCAGGATGGACAGAAATTTGCCTCTGCTTCAGGATTGTCGCGCATCAATCAAAATTAAGAAGACAGGAAAAAATTTCAAGCTGGCAAGAACACTGCAGCTGCTCCTGCACAAAACTTTCTGTCGGATGTTTGGTTGATGTTGCATCAGCATTTTGCCCATTGCAGACAATATCTTTTCCAACACAACATTCTAAAAGTTAAACTATAGATGGAATGTCATCCTTATATATATATTATTATATATGTATGTGAACTCGTCAGATGTTGTTTGTTCATTTTTAAGACCCTCCCATCTGTAGACAGGTCACAGATGTGTTGTTTGTTTGTTTGTTTGTTTACCTGTAGACAGGTGACAGATGTGTTGTGTCCCCGAATGGACTGGATGTTACTTCTGGTCTCCGAGTCCCAGACCTGAATCTTCCCCCCATCTGCAACACAAGAGTCCAACACACATTAAATATTGTACATCTAACCACAAAGTGAGGAATGTATTATTAATATTGTTGTATTGTATTATGTAATGGACCAGTGGAAGAATAGCTAAGCTAAATACTAAAGCTAAATGTGGATCCAAATAAAGGAGATAATGTGGGAAGTCAAACTGAAAGTTTTTAGAAAAGAGTCCATAAAAAAAAATTAAGCTCCTACAAGAGTCAAACTTCTATTAATGGCTGTATAAGGCCTGTGTCCTTACATGTACCTTATAATATCATAAGGTGTGTCCTTACCTGATGTATATGTATGTATGTATGTACGTGTCCTTACCTGACCCTGAGATGATGAGTCCTTCCTCCTCAGAGTAGCACAGACTCTGCACAGAGCTGTAGGTGTAGATGGACCTGAAGTCACAACCTGGGGAACATGATACAGGATAGAGTAAGTCTCCAACAATACAAACCTACACACATACATGCACACACACGTGCACACACATACACACACACAGAAACACACACACACGCACAGAAGCACACACACACACACACAGAAACACACACGTCCACACACGCGCACATACGCACACACATCCACACACACACACGTACATGTTACATACACAGACACACACACACGTACAGAAGAAACCATTTGACCTTCCTGTCAATCCTTCTGTATCTGTATCTGTATAGCTGGTATAACTGCCTTTTGGCATAACACACCAGCTTCGTAGGCACGCGGAGCGGCGGCAGCTGGCTACATTACACAGATCCTTACCTCGTCCGATGGACCAGAGTCGGATGGAACAGTCCGTCGAGCCGCTGATCACCAGCCTGTCCTTCTCTGACCAATCAGAGAACAGATCATACAGGAGACCTGCAAATATGGAAGAAAAAAACATTGTTGACGTGTTAAAATCATTCCAAACCTCAAAACAAATAAAAATAGTCCTATCCCTTTACTTTAGAAAGCACCTATCTTCATTACCACTGTGATGGTCTTGGTATAATCAATCATTAGTGGCAGCTACTAGTATTGCTAGCCAGATAAGTTAACATTGTTTCTTCCCAACAATAAGTTAAAACCTAACATTTTACTCTGCTTTACAATAAAAATTATGGTCTTGATTTTGTATTGGAAAAAAGCCAAAAGCTGAAGTTCCCACTTCAGGAATGGCAGGAAGCAAAGGGCCAGCTCCTCGCCTAGGCACTGAGGCAGGCAGGCCATCGTTTAAAGTTCTTGTGAGATCCCTGGCCTCTACAGTCAGGTGAGACTTACTGAGGCGCCTGCTCTCGTCTGGTGACAGTAGGATGACGGAGGTGACTGTCCCCGTGTGCCCGCCAAGACTCCGCTTCTCTGTCGCCTTCTTCATGTCCCAAACCTTCACTGTCGTGTCTCGGCTGCAGAGGAACAGAAACTCAAGTGTTATAGTTAGACACTGTAATTATCACCAAACAGGCCCCAATCAAAACTTTTGCAGATGTCATAAATTGAATAAAACATGGTAGCTATAGAAGTTAGACAAAGGTTACAGAGTATTACTGAACTACCAGGAGACAGCAGTGACAAAGGTTAAAGGTTACTGCAGGACACTGACCTACCTGTGACCTTTACTGATAAAGGTTAAAGGTCACTACTGGACATTGACCTGCTTGTGACCAGTTTAAACAAAAGTTAAAGGTTACTGTAGGACACTGACCTGTTTGTGATCAGCACTGACATAGATTAAAGGTTACCTGTCTGTGAATGATGACAAAGGTTAAAGGTTATCACAGGACACTGACCTGCCTGTGACCAGCAGTGACCCATCGGCACTGACGGAGGTCACCACGTCCTCGTGACCCTTGAGGAGACTGACAGAGAAGCGCAGTCCACGCCACATCTGCCGTAGTCTCGCCTGTTTCTTCTCCTCTGGGGTCTTCGGCTGGGGGGTTTCTGTAACAAACAACAACAGGAATTACATGTATGTAAAAGGTAGGTAAAGCTAAAGGTAGGGGCCTCTGTGTCTCGAGCATGGTATTGGAAGACCGAGCCTAAAAGCATCCCACCGTCTCCATCCACTGACTTTTACCAAAGTCAGGTACCCATTTTACACCTGGGTGGAGTGAGGAAAGTCATGTAAAGTGCCTTCCCTTTTAAAGGACACAATGTCTAGCCAAGAATGCCAGGAATCGAACCCACGATCTCTCGATCTTGGGTCTGCTAGCCTAGCCATTTAACGCCACTATATAGTCAGCTATTATCATTCTTGGCTAGACATTGTGTCCTCGGGGAAGGAACTCTAGTATGTAGATTTTTTCCTGCTAAAGTATATCACTTATACATCCCATTAACATTATTTGACACAAAGCATGTATTGTATCCACAGTACTGCCATACCTTTTTCTGCAGTTTTCCCAGTTTTCTGTGCGGGGGCTGCTGGTTCTGTGGGAGAGGAGGACGGTCCAGCTGCTACTGTCGGGGTTTCCCCCTCTGCGCCGGCAGGGGTGCTGACCTTCTGTGCCTTAGCTGGCTGGGTCGTGCTGTCCGCTGCTGTCCCCTCAAGGTCACCATCACCCCCAGCCTCACCCTCAGTCTGACAGCGCAAAAGTACCAGGATGTAAACTAGATGAGTTCCTTCCTAACTTAGTTTTTTAAGAAAACCCATAAATGTCATGGGAGTTAAAAATGTGATGAAACTAGTTAGTATCATGCCATGGTACAGGTTAACTGCCTTTCAAGGTAGCCATTTGGCACTAAATGTGTAGTGAAGATGGGGTATGGTACCGGTAGGGCAGAAGCGACAAGGTTAAGAGCAATTCATCTCCAGTTGCTTGAGTAACTATTTTTGGCATATCTTATTACCTGGATGTCTAACCTTCACCAACGGATACAGTCTGACCATTGGATACTGCCTGGTCAATTTGATACTGTCTTTTGTAGCCACCAAAAAAATTCTGCTTGGAGATTTTGAGTTCCCCACCTGCACTTCTCCATTCTGTGTCTCCTCCAGTTGTCTCTTCATCTCCAGGGAGACTTCAGCCTGGATAGTTTCTGTTGTGGATGACCTGCTGCAGCTCTCTGAAGTGAACAGCACGGCCTGTGACTCCTCGCGTCTGACCTTCGCTGCACTGTTCCTGGGCAGCTGGGCCAGCAGCTCGTGCAGCTTCTCCCGGATCTCAAACCTCTTAGATACCTGCACAGGTGAGAGGGGAAATCTTACACCTCAGAGCAAAAAATTATACCTGGGACAGGTGAGAGGGAAAAATAAGAAATGAGTGAGAGGGGTGAGAGAAAAAACACCTCAGAAAGGTGACAGGAAGAATAATTCACACCTGAGAGCAAAAAACTAAAGACAGGTGAAAGGGGGAAAATTTTACACCTGAGAGAAAAAGTTACACCTGGGACAGGAGAGAGGAGAATTTTACATCTAGCTCAGGTGAGAGAAAAAATTACACAGGTGAGGTGAGAAGGTGAGGAGAGAAAGAAATTTACATCTGGGACAGGTGAGAGAGAGGTAAAAAATTATACCTGGGACAGGTGAGAGTAAAAAATTACACCTGGGACAGGTGAGAGGAAAAATTTACACCTGGGCAGGTGATAAAGAGAACAATTTACAGGTGAGAGTATAATTTACACCTGGAACAGGTGAAAGAAAAAAAGAGGGGCTAGGTGAGAAAAAATTACACCTAGGACAGGTGAGAGGGAAAATAGGGACAATCCTGAACACCCCTATGGACATTTTCAAATGGACCAACCCTTTGTTTTCAGATCTAGAGTGATTGACAGATTGTCAGAATGACAGATGGGATCCTCAGAATGTCATCTTCCACAGTGTAGCCAGCTTTCACTTTCAGGCACTTTCACTTAAATATTTCACATATGACTGAAGACAACCAACACAATATAATAACCATGAATTTGTCCTTACCTCATTTACATATTAATTCAAACTATAGTTCTTGGATACTGCAGTAAATACCTGTTCAATTAACCCAGATTCCATTAGTCACTGATGAAGAGTAGAGGGTTCTGCTTCAAACATATGACAGTTTTCAAAGTCTATCCAGTTGCCAGTTTTCTTGTGTAAGGGCAGCAACAGAAATCCTCCCATATGCATGCTACAGCTGGGCAGGTCTGAACATGTTTCAAGCCTGGTCTATACACAAACTGTTTACACCTTAACCTTTAACCCTACATCCAGTGGCAGGATTGAATGAATGAATTCATGGTTGATCAATATTGAGTGAGTGATTGAATGAATGAAATGCCGGAGGCAATGCTAGGATGACTCACCCTGAAACACCTGATATTTACAAATCAATAAGTTACATCCTGCTTACTAGGCATGCATAAATACTAGTAGCCTCCGTAGCAGGCTTATAGAACTGGGGGTTTCACCGGGTGGTCTTCAGCTGTTTTCTGATTAGCCCAGTTGTAAAAACGGGGGTAATTCAACCAGGCCAGCTATGTTGTCTATATGCAATCAGAAAATAGCACATAAAAGCTCCCAAAGACCCTGAAGACCCCCAAAACCCCCAGTTTTGGCATGCTATGGAGGTTAATGCATAAACTGTAACGCAAGGTTACCAGTTTAGGGTCGATTTATGGAAAATTGCATTTTTTGTGAAAACGCGTGGGCAGAACCAAATATTTAACCCGTATGAGGAGACAGTAGTTCGTCAGTTTAAAAGTGCGTGTTGTGTTACTTTCTTCCTTGTATCTTTAGCGCCGCGCCAGCATGTATTTATGTAGTAGTCGTCAGCTAAGAATTGCTCTAGGGTGACCAATTAACGGTCACTTGAGTCTTTCTCCTTGTAGTTCTATACTTATAAGCACACGCATCTAAACACATACAAATTATGCGTTGTTTACGTGTATTTTGCATGATTCACCAACCCTAGATCTCATTGCTATCATGTGTCACATATTTACAGTTCTAAGTCAGCCCAGCCTACATGCCAACTGTAATGTTTAACTGCTGGCCTCCATATGAGAATGTATAAATATGCAGTGATGTGGGGCGCTCGGCACGGCTGATGTAGGTATAACGTGTCCCATGAGGATACAACTAAATTAGGTTAGGTGAGGTCAAATGATACAGCCAGCATCGGAATGCAACCTTTGGTTTTGTCAGAACTATAGTCTCGGACGTAGATTAAGATATATCATAATTTGGCGTGCATGAAATTTTATATTATACAGAGCTGGGACGTAAGTGAATTATATTTGTTCCCATTTGACGGAATCAAATTTAAAGATGAATTTTTCCCAGGACGCAGGAGCGTCGTTGATTTGATGGATTGAGTCGAAAATTATGCATGAACGTCCCTTCGTGGAAATCGCCAGAAATGTAATTAGAAGTGATGTCAGAGCCTGGCTACCTCAGGAGACGGGTTGGGAATAATTTGGAGCTCTTTGGACGACGTTAAAACGTTACGATAGCCAGAATTTATAAATACAACTGCGACATGATCGCACAACCTTGGCGTAGGGCTCGGGGAGTTGGCCTCTTGAGAAGGCGTGTTTTTAAGCTCTGTAGATTTTTAAGGCCCTTAAAATCTCTAGAATCGTGAGACAAACCTTAGTTTCCTCTTCTTCGGTCAGATCTCGGTCCATCCGCTCCAAATTCTCGATTTGTCGCAGCTTTTTGCGGAGCTTGCGGATTTCCCCATCCAGACCCGTCGCCATCTTGGAATGCTCCACTGACAAATCGGGGTGCTTGTTAGAAAATTGCCTACAAAATCACCCAATTGTATTTTATACGTCAATATCCTACTTTACAGTTTCATATTATTTGGTATTCAATAAATATTTTCAGAATTCTGCACATCAAATGACATAAGCTACGTATTTATGAAAAGAACCCACTTCCCCCTTGATGATAGAGTGAGATATTCCAGCTGAGGAAAATGGCCGCCCAGGTGTCGAACATTCGAACATCAGACGACTTCCGTGATCTTCAAGACTTTTCCAGCCTCAAGTATCATTGATGTCGGCGTTTCTTAGCTCTAAAACTTCAGCATGAACTTCTTAAAAGGTAAGGAAAGTCACAATGTGTTGACACTACTATGTTTTACTGTGGTATTTCTATGCACTGCCAAGTCTAGAGTCCAACATTATTTTGAACATATCATGTTTTGTTTTTGTCATCTGTTGAAAGTAGCCTGGGTTCCTGGCCAGGCTCACTGAGATATTTGTGTCCAGTGTGCTATGGGTCTGGAACCCAGGCTAGTTGAAATAACTGTGTGATCCAAAGATGTTTAAATATAGGGGGACAAGGTCCCTTCTAGTTCGACCTCTATGTTGAATCTAATGGACACAAGAAGCTTCAAAACTTGAGGTTGGAAAGAATTTTTGTACCATATATTTATTCCCCACACACGTACAAGCTCAAATTGTCGTGGAACATGTGTTCATATTATACTGATATCCATACAGCTTCGGAAATGAATGCCATGCGAAACTTTGACCTTAATGCACTAATGTAGGGGGACTTGCATTATACAATCTTTTCACATGCGCCATGTGAATGTCTGTTAACATGCGCTGCTTCCTACTCAGTTTACCCACCAACACCTGGTCGCCAAGATTCATATGATGATATTATGATATTATGATGTCAATGAAAAGCCTCTATATACCAAAAGGGGAGGGGGTTAGTGGATGTAAGCCCTCATCATATTAAACGTGCTGAATTGCGATAAAGGTAAGTCCAGGTATGTAAGCGTGCCACACAGCACGTTTCGACGGCGTCAAAAGTGCACAGGAAACACGCAATGACGGCAGGGTGCATGTATATGGGGCACCCAGAACGGCTGTTTTTAACGGTTTTAAACGTGCTGTGTGGCACGCTTACATAGCTCGTAAGTCGCATGGCTCATACCTGGTTTGTTCACTCCATGTGCCCTCAAAAACATGCCCACGTACAAGTCACAGTTCCACACAAGAAAAAAAAAAGTACACACCACCAATAGCTAATTATAACTTTAGTAACAGTTTGAGTAAATAGACTATCGTATTTAAAAACTAACAACCTGAAGTTTTTTAAACCTCTAGTACCTGCTACATTTCATTCCTATACCAGAGTGCCGGGAAACATTGTACTTTTTTAAGTCTAGCCAGCAGTGGCCTTCACTTCACAGATATAATTCAAACTGGCTGTGCATTGATGATTAAACCACTCACTGCTAAATGCAAGTAAAGCACAGTTGACAGAATCATGAAGTTGTAAATAAAAAGGGTACGCCACCGGAGGGCCCTGTGCCCAGTTGTTCCAGCCAGTGCCAAGCGGTGTCCCGTCCTCCCACACCCAGGTTCTCTCCTGCACCTGGTCTGTTAGACCAAACCAGGCATGGTCGAAGATGTAATCTCTGGCCCTGATCTGTTTGGCCAGGAAGTCGTTTGTTGCCTTGTCTTTAGGCATAGCCAGGTGCCCTCCGTCAGCCTGACAGGTGGACCTGGCGTCGGCATAGGTCTTCATGTCCGACTTGGTAGAGAACTTGTAGCACATGCCGGGCGTTTCGCTGAACCGTTCATACCCACAGGGACAGACTGCTAGGGTCTTGTTACAGCAGGCTGCAAAATGAGTATAAATATAATAATGATATAATTTTATATTCTATACCTTTATACATCTGTCACCCACCAATCAGTAAGAATCATGACGGGCATCTCCAATGTACAAGATATAAAAACACTAAAGCTTAGAAAGCTGCTGAAGTGCCTTATAATAGGAAGGGGCACAGATCTAATCATTTGGAAGTTTCATCAAGACCTACTGTACATGTATACATGTACATCTATGCACCACAGACCAAATATCAGTTTTGAAAGTAATCATTTTTTTTGTCAGCCTATCGTTTTGTCAATTAGGTAGAGATACACAAACGGAATAATTATTCTCATGGATGGTGAAGGTAACAGTAAATCAAATTGTCTAGGTCCAAGGGTACCTACAAAGCCCAGGTGTGCTTAAGATACTACTACAGTAACAATATGTAGTTATATTTGCATGTTAGACTCACCCTGTTTAATGACACAGAGATTTGCTGTGAGATTCTTTACTTTGTTCTTCAAGTCAGGCAGATCCATGACTTGCTTCTGCAACTCCTTAATCTGCTCCTGCATCTTCTTGTTCTGTTCCAGCAACAGAGACTGATGAGCAAATTGTCCTGGAATGTATATGTATGCGTTTTTACTTTAGGGATGTGTACTTTAATAATTTGACATACACGTGTATTGATTCAGAAAGTTGAATTTAAATTTTTTGGTTCAGTTCCAAAACTGGCGCACATTTTTTTTTCTTTTTTTTGGACAGATTCAATATATTTAGTAAATAGTAATTTTTTTGTCCAGCCAAGGAGGTTAAATACAAGAGGACCTCTTGGTCCAGCCCTTTCCTGAATGAATAACAAACAATTGAGAGCTGAAGGAAAGACAAAAGCACCTACTAATAATACCATTTTAAACACTCAGCAGAAACTAACCCGTCCAGTGTCTGCCATGTCCAGTAACAGTGTTTCCAGCTGACTAGTGTCTTGGAATAGTCCTGCTTCCTGCTTCAGCAACTCAATGTTGTCAGCTTCCTAGAATATGGATGAAGGCATAGTGTATAACCAAAACCTCTCTATTATAATAATAATGATAACAAGAGTTCCACGATCTCATACCTTCGCCAAATGATGTTAACCCTTGCGGTTGACGAATTATACAATTTTAATAATTGATTTCGCAAATAAGAGCGTCATATATATGCATGGATTACATCAGTTGATCATATTCTCTACCCAATGGCAGCCTTATCTTAACAAAGTAGGCTATTCTAGCACTTCCTCATAAATTAAGCAAATGAGTTCATAATGTGAATAAATTATCTTCATTGATGTTCACATTCACTTAACTTCCAAATACGGCAAGTATGAAATTCCCAGCAATTACAACTATGAAATTATAACAATTTTCCATTAATTATGTAAATTAGGTCTTCATTTACATAATCTATATCCTCAGATGTTTTTCTAGTTCTCAATTACATGTCACAAGTGTTTCAAAGTCCTATAATCGAACGAAGCAGATTTATAGAATGTCCTCATTAATTATGCAAATTAGCTCCTGATTTGCATAATTGTCATCTGATTATGTCAAGTATCACTTCAGCTACCTACATACCAAAAATCATGACAATCCGTCAACCGGTTCTTGAGTTATCAACCTTCTGAGATTTTTTCAAGAAACGCTCCTGCAGTTCCAGAACAAGCTGCTAGGGGGCCCTAACTCATGTCACTTCTTCCCCACCTCAAGAGCTATCTACCAACCAAAATTCGTGACTCTAGCATGTCCAGATCGCGAGATATCAAAACCGGAAGTTCTGCTGCAGTACCAACAAAAGCCGCCAGGGGGCCCAGAATCTAATCATTTCTAGGTCTCATCAAGACCTACCCACCTATCAAGTTTCATGACAATACATATTAAGCTTCTTGAGTTATGCTGTTCACAAACAGACAGACAGACAAACGCTACTGAAAACATAACCTTCTTGGCGAAGGTAATAACAATTTCACTGTCTGGGCTGACCATATGATAAGTGTATCCATGTGGTCATCAGTATGGGACATATAGAGACTGGTTTGATGAATGTTTGCTAATGATAACACTTAGTCTAGAAACTTGGTGTACTCACAAGCCTGTCCATTTTACCCTTACTGACAAACAAACTAAAAAAAACATGTACTCAAGTTTGTGTCAACAGACAGCTCATACATATACCTGACTCTTGTCTGCTGTATCACTCCCTCTGGCATTATTATAATTACTCCCAATGTAGAGGTGGAGGTTGGCCGCCTTTCCTGAAGACTGCAGCAGGGGCATCAGGACAGCCAGCATCACAAGCACTGCTTTCACGTCCATGGCTTAAACTCTGTCAGTGCGCATTTATCTGAAAGTGACCGTCCAACTGAGCACTGACCATGGAGTTAGAATATCGTGTTTCTGCATCCATGCACTGACGTATCAGCAGGGAGCGGCACCTTCTTTTGTACCGACCTTGTTGATGTTACCAAATTATGAATGCAGTCTTGATCTGGAGCTTGTTGTAAAGGAAAGAAGCCAACAGCCAGTTTTATAAAAGCATTTTGAAAGTCAATGCCACTGGTGTATATATACATTGCATGTACCTATTGTACGTGGGTACAATGGGAGAAACTCGAGTTCAAAGTCAAAAAGACTCTTATTCAACTGTACAGTTTACTGTTACAGTTAAAGTTACTGTTATACATAATACAGTTTGTTGCTATTGGTTGAGGGCCAAGGATCTATATCCCTTTTTTTATTTCACCATCGGGGCACCACAAGTACCATTTACATATGGCTGTGTTCCTTGCTACAAGTCACTTCACATTAATAATGGGGTCACACACATTGAATATGAGAAAGGAAAACCTTTATTCACTCCAAAACTTCAAACAGTTGTACTTGACAAATGTGTACTGAGAAATCAGACAACAGTAGCATTTACTTCACACACATAATGTTGTATGTTGGAGCACTCAGTATCGTACCACCTATAGGCCTCAAAACCTTCCCACCAAGCACAATCAAAGTCAGCAGTGATATTGGAGGGCTGCCCAAATCCCCAGTCAGACCAGCCTGCAAGCAGTGTCCCGTCCTCCCACACCCAAACTCCCTCCTGTACCTGGTCTGTCAAACCAAACCAGACCATGGAGAAAGGGGGGTACCTGTTGTGGATTTGACTGACCAGGAAGTCGTTTGTTGCCTGGTCTTTAGGCATAGCCAGGTGGCCGCCGGCAGCCTGGCAGGCGGACCTGGCCTCGGTGTAGTTACTGTAATCGGTGGAGAAGTTGTAGCACCTGTTCAGGAATTCTTCAAACATGTAGCTGATGGGGCAGGGTGTGCCAAAATCGTCATAGCCAGGTGTTGCAACTGGATCAGGTGTGGTGGTGACTGGACCAAAGTCTTCGTCAGGTGTGTTGACTGGACCAGGTGTGGTTTCAGGACCAGGTGTTGTGCCAGGACCAGGTGTGGTGCCAGAACCAGGCGTGGTGCCAGGACCAGGTGTGGTAACTGGGCCAAGTGTGGTGCCAGGACCAGGTGTGGTGCTAGGACCAGGCGTGGTGCCAGGACCAGGTGTGGTGCCAGGACCAGGTGTGGTGCCAGAACCAGGTGTGGTAACTGGACCAGGTGTTGTGACTAGGCCTGGTGTGGTGCCTAGCTCAGTGGTGGTGACTGGCTCAGTGGTGATGACTGGCTCAGTGGTGATGACTGGCTCAGTGGTGGTGAATGGCTCAGTGGTGATGCCAGGACCAGGTGTGGTGACTGGCACAGTGGTGATGACTGGTTCAGTGGTGATGACTGGCTCAGTGGTGGTGCCTGGCTCAGTGGTGATGACTGGCTCAGTAGTGGTGACTGGCTCAGTGGTGACTGGTTCTGTGGTGATGACTGGTTCAGTGGTGATGACTGGCTCAGTGGTGGTGACTGGCTCAGTGGTGGTGACTGGCTTAGTGGTAATGACTGGCTCAGTGGTGGTGACTGGCTCAGTGGTGATGACTGGCTCAGTGGTGATGACTGGCTCAGTGGTGGTGACTGGTTCAGTGGTGGTGACTGGTTCAGTGGTGATGACTGGTTCAGTGGTGATGACTGGTTCAGTGGTGATCACTGGCTCAGTAGTGGTGCCTGGACCAGGTGTGGTGCCAGGACCAGGTGTGGTGCCAGGACCAGGTGTGGTGCCTGGACCAGGTGTGGTGCCAGGACCAGGTGTGGTGCCAGGACCAGGTGTGGTGCCTGGCCAGGTGTGGTGCCTGGACCAGGTGTGGTGCCAGGGCCAGGTGTGGTGCCAGGACCAGGTGTGGTGCCAGGACCAGGTGTGGTGCCTGGACCAGGTGTGGTGCCAGAACCAGGTGTGGTGCCAGGACCAGGTGTGGTGCCAGGACCAGGTGTGGTGCCAGGACCAGGTGTTGTGAATGGACCAGGTGTTGTGAATGGACCAGGTGTGTAGATTCCATGGTGGCTTCCAACTTCGTCCGCCACACCCCTGAGGTTGTCCATAAAGTCAGCATTTTGGCCTATTATGATGTTCCTCCACTCAGCAAGTTTGCGGGTCAATTCAGCTTCAGCATTGAGAGTAACCTGGAAAGGGAAACAATGTAGCCAGGGCTTGAAATTCATTTTTAGGATTATGTGTTTGAGTAAATACTTTTAATTTATTACAATCTATAAATGTACGCAATATGGCATTTGGTCCCTTCTTGCTTGTACGATCAATCTACATTAGAATTTTGTAGTTACTTTAAGCATATGCAAGGAACAATCCAGGGAGGGGTATTATAAGAAATAGGGTAAAGTAGGCAACAGATCTAGAAAAGATGAGAGGATAATATCTTATATAATCCATATCCTATGGAAAAATATCTGGACTTAGTTGATTTTAACTTTCGCTCTGGAATAAGTAATATCTGAATTATTGCACACCCTCTCAAAATAGAGAAAGGGCGGTATAAGAAGTTCCAAGTGTATGAAAAAATTTGCAAACACTGTACGTTGAATACGGTCAGGAAGATCAAATGCATTTTACCTCAAATTGTACTCTCTATTTATTTCAATTAGTCTACATAGCAATGAACGAAATGAACTCTTTGACGCAGCCTCCAAATTCTACCATAACTTTCACACGTATACGAAAATTAACATCCAAAAACCCACAAATTACAGAAAAAGTGGGATCTTTTGTCTTCCTCTGTCTTAAAAAAAGTCAGACCCAGTAGTTTTTAGGAGTTAACAGTAACTGTAGCTATATATATATAGGTCTTTCTATAATTGCCAGTTTTATACCAGTTTGCCATTAAACAATTATCAGTATTCAGGAAATATTCAGGATGACATTTACATCAATATTGTGAAAGGACAGAAAACAAAGAAGGGTACTAGAGAAACCTGGCTGTTAGATCCAAACAGTCAAATAGTTTAGACTAAATACATGTAGAAGCTTGAGATGAGATAACATAACGTGAATTTTTCCTATCAAAACGTTATCATTATATTGTATGATGTAATTTCAGCATAAATGTGTATTATTCTAGCGTATAAGTGGTGTTTAATGCCTCTCAAGACACTTTTTATGTATATATATTATGTATTAGTCATGTAATTTTTTAAAAATTTGTAAAAGCTTCTCAATTCAGCCTTTGGCTGCAAAAAGCTTCTAACCTACTGTACTATGTATGTATGAAGTATGTGTTTCTGCAAATAAACTAGTCTATATCATTATGAAGACAGGAAAAATTTGTAAACTCACCTTATTGGCGTTTATATTTATCCTGGACCCTCCCAGTGAGCCAATGTTAATGTTGATGTTGATGACCCACCCAGACCCTGAAGTCTGTGGCATCAGAACAGCCAGAACCAGAATCACCACCTCCACTCCCATGGCTGGTTCTTATGCTGCAGAACGATCTAAAAACGTCTTTTCTGGCTGCAGCATTCACAAAACTGTGTAGTACACGTCTCACAAGAGAGCAGTGTCTGGTAGTCTAACTTGTAATGTTGACACTACCAAGGCAGTGTGAGGCATGAAGTTTAACACCGCCCTATATAAAACCTTCTGCAACTCAACACCTCTCTATTGTCTACATCTGTATACCCGTGACGCACCTGTGGGTAACAATAGACGGATGCTTTATATAAAGTTTATTCTCCTTGGTGTTACCGGCATTGGGCAGTGCCTAGCATGTGACCTAGCTAGCTAATAGAAGTACATTGTACCTGCAACTCAATGCAGCTGGTATTAAACGTCCAACAGTTTGTTGGACGTGACCCACCTAATAGAAGTACATTGTACCTGCAACTCAATGCAGTTGGTATTAAATGTCTAACAGTTTGTTGATGTTGGCTGTAGGGCAAGGAACCCAAATCGGTCATCAGAAACTCAATATCCTTGGTAATAATGCATGGTGAAAAGGTGATGTTTGGGGCTCTGAAGGTTAAAAAGACAATATCCCATCTGATATTACCGGTACTACTTTAAGTTGTAACAGTATCTTACTAATTTCCATTGTATTTGTCTGGCAAGTACATGAAGGTCTTGGCCTCACTGAAAGAATCAGGACCTCCATCATAATGTCAGTGTGTTGTTGCTGTAACAGTTAGCCTTTGGGTCACCAGGGTGGCCTATTAGTAAACCATCAATACTTATGATCATTCAACAAGTTTACTGTGCAACTCACTGAAATACACCACTCAGTGAGGGAGTTATGTGAACTAAATATGCAATGTATGTGTGCTGTACATAATTAACACTTGGCTGTTCTGTGTTGTGTGAACATTTATAATTTACATGCTATCATGAAAGTTCATCTGTGTTGATAGTAACATGTTAAAAGTTAAGACTTTTGGTCTAACACAAAAGTTCTCTCACCTAGAGCTAATTAATTCGACCAGTCACTCAGAGTGACGTGTTGAAAGCTTTAGGTGAGAAAACTTTTGTGTTAAACCAAAAGTTTTAACTTTTAACATTACATTATATAATTGACAGTTCTGCACTTACACTGTACATGTACAAAATGTATGTATCATGGCTGTTTTGTGTTGTGTGATTACAATTTGACAGCTGTAGTATAAGTTGTCTAATCCATAACTTTATGTACATTATGCATGTATTATGGCTGTTCTGTGTTGTGTTTTATAAGGATCAGGCCCCACAGAGGATGAGAAGGCAGAACACAGAGTCATCAAACACACACTCAGCAGTCAGCTGTCCAGAACCATCAAAAGGGTTGGTATACTTTATGGCCACTTACCTTTAGTACTATATGTATGTAGCACATCCGAATTTAGGTAATTAATAATAGAATTATCTTTACTAAAATTTGAAATGATTGGTACAGGTCCAGGCCTGAACATCTAGTGTACCTAGTCTTGTTAACTTGGAAGTACAAAAAATGTAGAAAAGATAACAAGCATTTGATTATTTAATAAAATAACTAAAAATCTGAATGTTTTATTTTTTCTCAGTTGCAACAGGAGCACATTGGATCAGATTCAGCTGTTCGAAGGTAAACAAACTTTTCATTCATAGAGAAAAGAATGGACATTTATTCATGTGTCATGTGCATGGTAACAAAGGTTTTCAGGAATCCAAATTGGTTGAAAGAAAAAAAAAGAAAAATGATTTTTTTCTTAAGGCATAAATATTAATTGCATAAAAATACATTTTGTACAATTCATTATGTTATGATTATCTGTTGTATCTAGCGGAGACCATGGCAATGCTATCTGTAACGTCCTGGAAGCCATCTTTCTCCACGGGCTCAAGGCTTCCTTTGCAACTAAGGTGAGACTTTATATTATTCATGGTAACAATGGACTGTCCAACATCATTGCCTTTTATCAATGATTATTCTGAATCAATTAGATGGAAAATGTGATAAGCATTGTCTGCCTGTCTGTCTGTCTACAGATCTCAGGGATGTTTGGCTCAGGGAAGGAGGAGAAAGGGCCAGTCATGGTGAGTACATAATAAAGATATGCTAATTTAAAAGGTACATTGCAGCAGTGTTCAACATGGTTACTTGTTGCAGATATTAATCATTATAACACAGATCATCGTCATGTTGACATTATGATCGCTTCTGTATTTGTTACAAACAGTTTATAAGGAACAGCAAGGATAATAATTCAAGTACAGCTTCAAGTAATCTCAACTTGATTTATACTCATTTTTTTAAAATTTAATGTAAGATTTTTACCCTGCAGAGTTTCTGGCCGTTTGTGATGCACTTTACCCACAAGGACGTGGTTTCCCAACTGAACCACCTCGCACACATCACCACGGAGATCGGACAGTGCAGGGTGAGTTTTATATGAAATATGTCACACAAACGTCCAAGTGATGATCCATGTACTCACAGACACACAAGCACACTCGCACCCACACACACACTCATATGCACACTCACACACATAAACACACACACACACACAAACAAACACACACAATACACACACACAGTGACACACACATGGTCGCGCACTGTTGGTCCAATGATTTTACCCATAATGCCAGAAGCATCAAAAATCCTATTTATACTGTACAAATGGTCACCTGTCCACATAGACCATATTTTCTTGTTCCCCTGAGTGGTCTAAATTTGCATAGTATTTCCTTGCTTTTTAGGCATTGTGTATGTCTATGTGATGAGAAAGTTCCTGTGTGTTGTGTAGGCATGGATCAGACTGGCCCTGAACGATGGTTTGATGGAGAGTTACGCTGAAGCCATGCTGAGAGACAAGGATCTTCTCAGGTCTGTACAATACATCCTGTGGGTCAAATGTACCTGGGAGTCTGTCCAGGAATTATTGTCTTGAATGGGCCTTCTTGTATACAGCTTCTTACCCACCAAAATGTCAGACTTAAGTGATAAAAAACTGATTTACCAGTCTAAAATATAGCACATAAGAGGAAAACAGTTATAATTGTAATGAAGGTACACTATCTGGATACTAGTGCACACATTTTCTGCAATATAATGAAGATAGAAAGAAAGTATTATACACACAAAATGGACTGTGACTGTGTCATGTTTTTTGCAGGTCCCACTACAGGTCTATTGCCTACCTTAGAGATGAGGAACATCCCACTATCATGAAGAACCATCTGCAAGGTTGGTCACTGTCTTACTTTTTGATTTAAAACAATTATAGCAATCATGTAGAACACCATCATTACTGAAAACAAGGTACTATGAACCATGTTTTCACTTCAGACTGATTGGAATAGTTTGTCCTAAATCTTGTTTGGTCCCTGAATCATTTGCTTCTCTGACAGGTGCTGATTCGTTGAAATTGATCACTCCTGTGTTCAGATTGGTCATAAATATTTGCCCCCATGTCCTGATTGGTTGGTTGTGTACCCCAGGGCTGGAGGGTTTCCAGTTCCAGCTGTCCTACAACTCCAGCATGCTAAATAACTGCTGATTGGTTGAAACTGATCACCCCTGTGTTCTGATTGGTCATAAATGTTTGCCCCCATGTCCTGATTGGTTGAAACTGATCACCCCTGTGTTCTGATTGGTCATAAATGTTTTCCCCTGTGTCCTGATTGGTTGGTTGTGTTCCCCAGGATTGGAGGGTTTCCAGTTCCAGCTGTCATACAACTCCAGTGTGCTGAATGACTGGGGCGTGTCCTCTCTCACACTGGCTGGGCTCTGGTCTCCCCAGGCTCCTGAGGCTGTCACACCATCTTCCCCAGATGGTAAGTTGAGAATTAACCTCTTCCCAGGCTTCTCAGGTTGTTAGAAACTTGTTTTGGTAAAGGTTAGACATCCAGATACTAATTATATATGCCAAAATTACTCAAGCAACTGGTCCAGGATATGATTTCAGAAACGGTCAGGCGTTTCAGGTAGCATCCACTACATTTTGTCAGTGACACTAGAAACATGCAGGAGAAAGGCAGGTTTATATTAAGCATGAGCTATTGATCGATATGCAAATAAGTGAAATTCAAGACATTTTTTGGGGTGAAGTCCAAAAGGATGTTGCAAAGGATAGTGTTGGAAACTGTATTGTGGAATTTATAAGATCCAGATGGTTCAGTGTCTTATTCCAAAGTCCTCTATTCTAACTCTAGTTGCTATGGAGGCCACAGAGGGAGATGACCCCACTCTGCCCTCTCAGCAGGCAGCCAGGGAGGTCAGACAGGTCAAGTCAGGTCGCAGAGGTCAGAGGTCATCACGGAAGACAGCCGAGATCCTGGATCCCGAGGTGGGATCAGTGGGATCCTCCGTTACCATGGAAACGGTAGAAACATCTGCCGAGCAAGTTTTGGATGTCGACAGGACCGCCAACCCCATGGAGAGTACAACAGGTGAGAAAGATGAGGGCAACAGTCAGGATTTCCTAAGAAGTGAGGAGCCATCTTCTTATGATTCTGAGACTGCTGTCAAGGAACTTGTGGAAAGCAAATCGTCTTCAGGGAATACTAGTAATTCTCAGAGTGCCGTGAAGAGCCAGGAAGTCTCGGAGTCCCCCCAGTCTGAAGACAATGTTGAGGAGCTCATGGGTCTTCAAACTTCTCAAATTCCAGTGGAGGCAGCACCAGCAATCAACTCAGTTGCCACTCCAAGTGGTGCTGTGTACCCAGCGGGAACTGTGGAGAGAGATGGTGTTTTTACTGTCAACAAAAACACTGAAGAAAATGTTTATCTAACTGGGGATAAACAGAACTCTGTGGAAACACAGGTTGTTCAGCAAACACTGCCAGCTGAATCTACCCTGTCTCTACCAGTGCAAACTTCAGAATTACCAGAAGGAACGCAGGAGAAAGAGGCCAGGTCGGAAACTCTGACTTCTCAGGACATGTACTATGACATCTACAGCAGGAGCCGGACCGAGACAGAAGCTAGCATCACATCCCCAGCCTCTGATTACGAGGGGGAGGGCACAGTAAATGTAGCAGGAGATTCGTCAGCTGTGAGGAGAATTGCTCAGCAGGCTTCACAACAACAAGGGCTAACTACTCCTGAGAGCATGGAAAGGTAATATTTATCAATGCTTGCCATGAATTACATTTTGTGAGTGGTTGCCAGTGAGTGGTAATAAGCCAAAAAGCAGGTTTAACCCAGGTAGCTGGGTGATTAGCATTGCACTGATTTGCATCAGTACATTATGTATGAAATAAAAACTAATAAGCTTTAACTTCCAACACTTAGATTACAGAATTGGGACTTACCCCAAATTTTCGGGTGACTCCATCAACCTTGTTCACGGAATGGACCCGTCTACTTCTTGAAAGGTTGATGGAGTCAACCGAAAATTTGGGGCAAGTCCCAATTCTGTAATCTAAGTGTTGGAAGTTAAAGCTTAGTCTTTATTTCATAATGACTTGTACTAACACAGATGAACTTTCATGCTGATTTGCATCTGATTCAGTGTTTATTATGCCTTAGTACCAATATTGTAATTTGCCTATGCCTACCAGTAGCAGCTGCTAAGTGGCTAAAAACAAGACATATGTTGCATAAGCCATGTACTTTGAATATTACTAAACATTGACAGAAGCTTAAAGAATTTCAGACATATTTCTCATGTCACACTGTAAATAATAACTAAAGACATCCTAGTATATAAACTGTACATAATTATTATTATTAATATGTATAATTATCATATTTTTTCTGGTTCCAGTGATGAGGGTGTGGCAGGCTACGGTAGCTATGGCAACAGCCTGGGGGTGCGATCTGGTTGGTCGTCGGCTGGGACGAAGGACAGCCTCCCTCCTGACCCCAGCAGACACAGGGCACCATCCTCATCCAGGGGTAGGGAAATTGGCTGTTATCTCTTGAAATCTTTGTCCACATACTTAGATCAGTCTTGTTACCTGATACACAGTCATGTTTTTTTCAGAGAATACGATTCCTTGTACTTTATATAATAATTATTATAGTAGTATTAGATTTGTGACGTTCCAATGTGTAAAGTATTAGCTTGTGACCATGAATTTCCCCAGTCAGTTATGCTAAATGTTAACTGCACCATGTCTACCACCAAAAGTAATTTTTAACGACACTATGCATATTATGAGTATTCTGAAATGACTGCACAGTCAGACAGTTTTTACCGTATCCTTGCTTCACTGTTGTTGTTTTTGTTCTCCAGGCAGTTTTGACTCCCTACTGAAGAGTTACTCCCCCCAGGGCAGCCTGGCCACAACTCCAGGTATGCAGGAGATCTTAGAGACACTGGCTGGGCCTGAGTCTGGAGCTGTGGAGGAACAGGTCTGTACTGTACATACATGCACAAACACTCACACACCTACACACACACACATTCATACACAACCCCAGGTATGCAGGAGATCTTAGAGACACTGGCTGGGCCTGAGTCTGGAGCTGTGGAGGAACAGGTCTGTACTGTACACACTGTAAACACACACACACACATGCACACATGCACCACACAAATACACACGCACTTACACTCACACTCATAACCCTGGATATGCAGGAGATCTTAGAGACACTGGCTGGGCCTGAGTCTGGACCTGTGGAGGAACAGGTCTGTACTGTGCACATACACTATAAACACACACACACACACACAAACACACACGCACTTACACTCACACTCATAACCCTGGATATGCAGGAGATCTTAGAGACACTGGCTGGGCCTGAGTCTGGACCTGTGGAGGAACAGGTCTGTACTGTACATACATGCATGCACAGGCACTCACACGCATGACTTTGTACATGTGTACACACACACACACACACACACATACACACAACCCCAGGTATGCAGGAGATCTTAGAGACACTGGCTGGGCCTGAGTCTGGACCTGGGGAGGAACAGGTCTGTACTGTACATACACATACATTTGTACACGCACACACACTATAAACATACACGCACTCACACACATGTACTCAATGACATACACACACACACACACACACGCAAACACACGCGCGCGCACACACACACACACACATACACACTCACACACAACCTCATGTATGCAGGAAATCCTGGACACAAACAGTCTTGTTATATAATAACCTCAATCAACATACAGCTAGCAGTGCAGTTGAATCTGAAGCTAATTGATGATTTGCAGAATGGAACAATGGGTACTACCATCTTCACAATTTGCCAATTTTTTTCCAATCACAGCAATTTCATATCATTCATAAATCAATTTTTGTCTCCAATTTCTTTGCTCAATGTTTATGTCTCTGTCTTTTTTTCTCTGCTTTGTTTTTGAAGATTTTTTTCATCCTGCTTGATGAAATTGATTTTGTTTGTGATCACCACTGACTGATGAACTGATCCCTGCTGAAATCTGTTGCTTAGGAACCAGCTAGTAGCCATTTGGAAGAAAGTGATGAGTTAGACAGAGAAGAGTTTGAGGTAATTCAGTCATGATTGTGGTAATTTTATCAGCATGGGGCACTTTGTTTCTCGTGTTGCTATTTTATTATGTCCTTTAAGTTTAACTTAGTTAGCATGCTTTCCTATTTCCTTTGTCATTTCAAGCAGCATTAAGCAACTAGCCTGGTGTCCAGCCTTGTTAGCTTTAGTCCGCTCCCCAAGATCTGCTCCCCGCCAACACTGTTGTTGGGGGGGAAGCGGATCTTGGGGAGCGGACTAAAGCTAACAAGGCTGGACACCAGGCTATGCAGCAACAGATTCGTTATCACATCTTAACACTTGCTCTTGTTTCTTCCATTGTTGAATGGCTGGCTACTCCATGTACTTGTCAAGAATTCAGACCATATAATATATGATCATATTTAACTTAATTTGATGAATATGATCCTCTGATCACTCTAAATCTGATTGTGGGCAAAAAGGAAATTTGTAACGCTTAGAAAATCATATTCTTTTTCACTGTGGAAGCTGAATTCAAATCTCAAACTTAGAGTCTGTGAAGATGAAGATGAACATGACTGCCTCCCTTTCAGGTTCTGCCCCTGGGCTCCTCTGTGACTTCTGGACATGCAGACCCTGTAAGTACATAAATAGCCATTTCTTTGATCACAACCTCTTATTTTTCACGAGCTGACGTTTCGATGACCGTCTGTCATCTTCATCAGGACAATTCTGACTGGCTTACTGTGCACTGACGCTAGATGTTACTTGGTGCATTAAAGGTGTTACATAGTTCACAGTGCACTGTTACTTGGTTCACAGTGCACTAAGCTAGTTTTTATTGTTAACAATGCATTTTGGAACGTATATGTAGTGTATTGTGACATACATAGTACTAGGCATTGTTACATCATAGGGACATATGCAGTTCCAATTGTAAACCTGTAAGTATATGTTTGTACCTCATGATAAACGTCATCTCTCCTCTATTGGAGTTCTAACCAGCGTTAAACTGATCAAGACATGGTTTTATCTTCTCAGAGAACGAAGGAACTGATGGCCCAGCTGACGTCCATCGGCAGAGAGAAGGGCCTCGATGTGCAGAACTTCAAGTGCAAGGAGTGCGAGAGGCAGATTGGGCTGAGTGAGTCAAAAATTTTAATTCACTGAAGAAACACAATTTAAAGAACACCAAAGATCTCCAGCATAATTTTCATCAATTATTATAGACAAAATATACCCAAACTTAAAACACGGCAAAACCTCTAGGTCTTTTTCCTTTCTACTACAAAATTGCAAAATTTAGTACCTGCAAAAATAAAGAAATACTATTATATCAATCAGTCATTCCACAGGCATCAGGTTTTGATCCATTATAAGCGGCTATAGATGTGCACAGGTCCCACTAGGTTATACATGTATATTAGATAAAATTATCAAATATACCTCACCAGATAATTAATCCGGAGGTATGATGATGAGATAAACTTGCAGTTACTAATTGTAGACTTTACCAAGTATGTTTCCCTTTTCCGCACAGTTTTTGGGAAGTACCGAGTGTGTAACTATGACGGCTGTTACTACTGTGAGGAGTGTCACGTTAATGAAGAAGCCATCATCCCAGCCCGAATCATCCTCAACTGGGACTTCAAAAAGCACAAAGGTGAGTGCTATGAATTAACAGCACAGTCCTTAAAGAACAACAAGGGTGTGCACTTAAGGGACCTTCCTGGTGTGAGTGGTTCAAACCTTACAGTCCCATATATATGGCCACACTTGGGGTTGTATTGAGGTCACCTGAGTTAGCGCCAAATGGCAGCTGCTCCAGACCCTTGCGATTAAGCCCCAGTATGTTGTAAGCTCCTCACAATTCAGCCCTTGGCTGTAAAGAGGGAGAGGCTGGCCCACCCCAATACCCAATACACTCGGAACTATAAAGTTGGTACTTCAAGAAGTACAAAGGGGAGAATTCAAAACTATAAACAAGCCTTCAAGAAGCACAGAGGTGAGCACACTTGTTGAAGAGAGCAAGCCTGTCCTTGGTGCTGAATGACAACTTTTGGAAGACTTTTGATAGATTTTGCTCTCTCCTTGGTGCTGAAGAACAACTTGTGGAAGTCTTTTTATAGATTTTGCTCTGGGGGATTGCAAAATTGACCTACTAGTACCAGACATATCTATTGTAAATCATATGACAAGTGAAAGTTTTTGTGCATTGAACAGGATTTTATCCCTGATCAAACTGCAAAATATCTGATGTCTGTTGTGTCCAGTTGCCCACAGCACAAAGCTGTTCCTGTTACAAGTGGAGGAGGAACCACTCATCAACCTGGAGGAGTGCAACCCTGACATCTACACCTACATCAAGGAGATGGCAGAGGTCAAGGTAAGAGGGCAGAGGTCAAGGTGAGAGGCCAGAGGTCAGGGTGAGATGACAGAGGTCAAGGTAAGAGGGCAGATGTCAAGGTGAGAGGTCAAGGTAAGAGGGCAGATGTCAAGGTGAGAGGTCAAGGTGAGAGGGCACAGAGGTCAAGGTGAGAGGTCAAGGTGAGATGGCAGACAGGAATATCAGGTGGTAGGGGTCAAGGAAAGATATCAGAAATCAAACTAAGATTACAGTCTAAGGTAAAAATGACTTTTTCTTAAGGATTTAATTGAAATATGTCAGTCAGATTACACAGTACTTATAGTGATTGCTTTAATCAAGATTGGATTTCTCCAGAAGATTGACTTGTAAAATTGAAAGTCTGTAAAGGCATTGGATAGTGATATTAATAGAACGTCACTGTATGTCCTCATATTGTTCCTTAGACCCTGCGGCTGCAGCTGAAGTACGTGAAGGCATACCTGTTCACCTGTAACCAGTCAGTCGCTGAGGATCTCAGGAAAAGGTACAACACAACCTGATAGTGATAGTCTGTCAGCTCTGAAGATTTTTCAACTTTATACCTCCTTGGTTCAACTGACTGTCATCATTCCTTGAGTTTGCAAGCAAAAAGCCTTTTGCTCAGCAAATGAACAAGGTCTTGTCTACAGATTCGAACATTGTTGCTAGGAGGATAGCATTACTCTGTAGTATGTCTACTAGGCATTTCCAGTAAAATTTTCTTATGTCTGTACCTTTCCCTTTTGTTCCAGAGTTTGGCCCAAGGACTACATGCTGGACAGGATCCACCTTTACTCAGTTGTTGTAAGTCAGGGAGACTTGTATATAACATTGTACATACAAGTGACTATGTATTTGTACATAATATTATGACCATGTAATATCCACATAACACTTGAGTTACTACTAGTAGGCTTTTGAATTTTGATGAAGCATACCATGTAATTTACAAGGAAAGGATCAAAATCAAAATTAAGGGTAAGACAGAAGTACAGTACAGTACTATTGCAGTTCCTCTAGCCTACATAAGAAATCCGTACAGTGTGTGTATGCAGAACTACAGTGCCATTAACAGCTACCAGGAGGAGCTTCTACCCTATGTACAAAGTCTATTGTGTGTTCAGGACTTGCTGCAGGTGACGTCAGGACAGCTTCAGCAGCACCTGAAGAAGGTTGTCAAACACGCGACCAAACACGTCTACAAGTGCCAGGTAATGAACACAATCATGTATTCTGTCTTAGATAAATGTCTAGTTCTTAGGGAACAAGGAAGAGCAATGTTTTTGGATGTGATATAATTTGGATCACAACAACACAATACTTTTGGCACACATACATTACAGAAACCATGACATGTCTCAAAATGAAATCTAAAACGAGCCGCGATATAATTATGGAAAAACGTTTTAATTATGGACTCCCGCCCATAAATCCCAAACGCTTAACCCAAGTCTTAATACTTTTTATGGTAACATATCAGGTGTTAATGAATATGCGGAAAGCGTTGATGAGTCCGTTGGGAATAGTCAAATTATACATAATTATACTATAATTATATATAATTATATATAATAATTTTGGTATTATACATAATTATACACAACCCTTAGGACAGTTATACATAATTATACATAACCCTTTGGACTGTTATACATAATTATACATAACCCTTTGGACCATTATCTATAATTATATATAACACTTTGGACCATTACATATAACTCTTTGTACCATTAATACAACGCTCAATACAAAATGCAATCTTTAAAAAGCAATACTATTATAAATATCTTGATGTGTTAAACGTTTGAGAGTGACTATCAGTCAAAGACTGAGAATTAATGGACCGGGTGCTAGACTAGTTTATATTTACTCCTTACAATATCAAAAAAAGTGAAGTCGGTAAAGTTGTAACTCTTTTACCATGCCTTCCCCCAGTTGTGCAGCCAGAAAGGGTTTCTGTGTGAGGTGTGCAATAGTCCAAATCCCATCTACCCATTTGAGACAGACTCCACCGTCAGGGTAAGTACACAAAGCAAGAGTATATGAGTGGTGTAAAATAGGGCAGTTATATTATGTAATGCAGTGCTGGCATGATGTCAAGTGGCAAGCACCCAATATTGGCATGCATAGTCTACTGGTTCCTTACCTTGAAGACCTTACAAGAATATCAACGTTTTTCATACGTCTGTGTTGCGTAATGCAAGGTGATTTTTTTATAAACTTAAACTGAGGTTGTAGTTCAAATCGTGGCTGTTGTGCCAAAAATGAACGTCACTGGAAAGGTTTCTTACGTGCGCTACCGGTAGTGTAGTCTTTGCATGGAGACAAGCAAACAGTAACTGTTGCATGTTCAACCTTCTCCCTGCTGTCTAACACCGTAACCAATAGACACTTGCTAGCCAAATGGCCACTACAGTGTGCTACTGGTTAAGGACTTTCTTCTTCTTCTTTCATACTGCTTAGCCCAATAGGAATTAAATTACTAGCAGCTGAACGTGTGTTAATTACAAAACAAGTGACCAGCCGATCTACAAATAAAACAAACTGAAGGTAAACTGAAGGTAAGGGCACTAAGAAACACATTTTTCCGCAGTGTGATCGGTGTAAGGCTGTGTACCACGCCAAGTGTCGTACGGAGAACCGCCCGTGTCCCAAGTGCACCAGACGAGACCTGCGCAGGTCGCAGTTTCGAACCGCGGAGGACACGTCACCGGACTTCGCTTTTCCCGTGTAGATGTAAAGATCTTAGTTAGGCCACACTGAATCAGATTTGATTTTATGGATGACATCCGTGCGCGCATTGATTTTTGGATATTCTAAAAAACACCGATGACGACGCTCTTGCCTGGGTGCCATCCTCCGTAGTCCATGGTAACTAGCAAAAATAGTAAGCCAGTAGTACGTACAGAGGATGGCACACAGGCTGCCGAAGCTCCACGGAACTCAAGTACAGTGCTGACTCATTTATCAACCGCAAGCATCAAGGGAGCGGTCGAAGCCATGTCCATCCAGGATGTTCTGTTTTGCCGCATATATTCCACAAAAGGCCAGCATGTGCCGGCTTTTCGTAAAAGGCGCTATATACATGTACTACCACAAATTCACAATAGCAGCTTTGTATACATGAATACAACATCCAGACAATAAAAATGCTGCTAAACCACATGAGGTTTAGCAGCATTTTTATTGTCTGGATGTTGTTGTTTTTTATTCAGAGAATGCCATCCATAAGATTAAGCCAGTGTGGCCTTAGCGGTAGTAAGACTAGCGTGGGCACCGTTCTGGTATGGGTTATATGTCCGCCTTAAACGTCACAGCAAGGTTGTACGTGGGAGTAATCATGACAAAAGTCTCAAAGACAGTGGCAAATAGCATATCGTATGTGGAATTGTGGATGTATGCAGAAAGTAAGAGGCGACAGGTTGATTTGTTTGCCTTATGTCATCCACCTGCTAGCATGGGTACGTTCCCAGTCAGACTTACACAAAGCTCTGCTCCAAACCAGTCTGAAACCGATGATATCAACTTGCCTGATGATGATGTTTGTAATGAGATAGTTTGTGCTAACTAAACTCGGTACTGATTTGGAATTGCATATTAACCAATAACTAGCTCATGGACGACGTCCTGTAGTAACTTCTCTGAAGGTTTGAAATGTATGTATTTGTAATTATAACATATAAACAGGGTGACAAAGAGGCTGTTGTTGCACAAAATAGAGCAGATTCCTAGCGGCAATGGCAGCAGATACGTGTACACGAAGCAGTAATCAGCAAGCAAAGTCTTGCAGAGTCTTAAAGTTAGGACTCTGATTGGGTCATTAAGGGAATAATTGAAAAGACACAGCGTCGTTTCCAGTTTGTTGTAAGTATTCGAATCTGTGTTAGAGGAAAGATGCTGTGTCCAACACCCTAAAGGCTTGTATGATGGGGATGTCAGATGTTGGTGTGTAACGTAATAGCTGCTATGTCTAAATAAGGTTAATGCTGAAGTAAGGAACACTAAGGTAAGTAAGATAAGGTGAATGGTTTAGGAATTTACTGATTATAAATGTGATTCAATTGTGTATACATATAAGAATATTGTCTACCAAGCAAGTTGTATATATACTTAAGTACTTACCAGCCGCGAATAATTGGGGTGCTTATTTTAAAACCATGATATTTGTTCTGCTTTTGTAATAAAATAGAGGTTTAAGTTCGCTACGAGCAAGAAAGAATGATTCAAAACGCCAAGCCTCTGTAATGATGTATAGCTTTAATACCAAAACAAGCGGATATGTCGCTCTTCAAGCCCTTGAATTGATTTCAAGTGTCACAGAGCAAAGCAATGTGTTGCATTTCCTCAAGTTTACGGCAGGGGGCTTCACATTTGCTCCACTCCCACACGGCAAGAAAAATGTGCATATTTTTGTTCTTCCCCTTTTTGAGAGCATTTTCTGCATGCTCTCCAGGATTACAGTAAATTACCAAATGAACATATATAAGATACAGCTGCATTTTATGAACTGCAAGAAGGAAAACGTGTTTTTATTGGGGCAAAATATACAGCCTTGGTCTTGTAGAATATCAAAACAAAATTATTTGCAACCAAAGCCTTAAGGGCGCCCAAAGCATTTCAGGGCAGTAAGTTTTCTAATAAGTTTTTCAATGCATGCAGTAAGTTAAATCAACTGTATTCCATAGCATACTTATGTCTGTTGCGCAAAAATTTAGTTCCATTGGTTTTCATTAAATAAGAGATTGCATAATGGAAAATAGCTATCATATGTGTGAGACTTTTATTGAAAAGAAAACGGCATTAACAGATTGCAGGCTTACATGAAAGGTTATATAAATGGCATGTGTGGTAGATGCACAAGATACGTGCGTTGTAGCGCCTTATGAACGCGCACCCTTCTATGGATGGCAACAGCTTCAGCCAGCCCTCCGGACGAATCACCCACCCGATAAACCAAGACATATGCGCACAGACTAGAGAGCTTAGCGATTAGCTACTCAGTTTCCATCATAAAAATATCTTCTATACACTTCTTACTTCAGAAGTAATCTCCGAAGATATACGAATTTATGATACCCAACGGCGAGTGGATATGATACACTGTACGTAACCATCTGTAACGACTGAGAAGTTCTTGGCAAGTAAGCCATGATAAGGCGTCGGTTTAATGGTGCAGATATTGAAAGCCGATATAGCTCCTAAGTCGTCTGTAGGTCGCCACTTTCAAAACGAAAACCATATCCGAGAGGACACCAGGTTTACTGTTCGCCTGGCGCTCATTCATGCCCGTACATTCAGGACCTCCAATTCCAGACTTCCACGATCCGGCATAAGTCTGACAGATGACGTGTTGAAGGGTACCCTGAAGGAAAACGGAGAAAAGATTTGTGTAATGATTTTTCCATTACGTTCAGGCACTTAAGAAAAAGTTTCGATGGTTATCTTAGCATATCTTTGGATATAGCTCATTCGGGATGTTTGACGATTATTGTAAGTCACTTATTCAGAAGCAGAAGTACGTTAAAAGATTCCAAAGACGCGTCTGACGAAGGATGCATCAATGTAAACAGCCAAGTAGTTTATCATGACTTACTTACTTCTCATGTCTGCCTCAGCTTGGATGGTGACCATGAAGAAGCATCGGGCATTGAGTACGTTTTGACAGCGCGGATTCCACGAGCACATCGACGTCTTAGCGGCATAAGCAGCGGTTCTTTCATAGCCGAGAACACCACAAGAATGTCCATCGATGTTTGGGGGAGATTGAAGTCATCCGTCTTGGAAAGCAATCCTTGTACCGACGGAGTCTCCAAGAGTGCCTGTCGTGCAGGTTTTCTCTTGAAGTTGCAGACATTTGAAGGATGTGCTATGTGAGAGTCTGTAGATCTTTAGCCAAATACACAAGACATAGTGTGAAAGCCCGATGGCGATGGTTTCCATGGTAAAAGTCGGTCTTACAGGCTGCCACACACATAGCTGTTCATCGGGCGCCGCAGGATGAAGGAATCTCACACTGTACTTTCAAAGATTACCAAAAAGCAGATGTGAGTGGTAGCATTGCACATTCAATATGTTATAGGCTGCCGGTGTAATCCCAAAGTTTGCCGCAAGGCGGTGGATGTTAGTGTGTTCCCCCATCGGCAGGACCAGTGCTATAGGCTGCCGAGTTGCGGTGAGGAACTCCCTACTGCAGGCGTCCGGTGGCTCGTCCCGATGCGGAGAGCTGGAGATGGAATAACGAGACAGAGAAAATGAGAATAACAATCTTCCAGATCTGATTCTTATCACAAAAATACGTTATGTAACCAAAGAGGTTTAAAATCATCATGTATTGAGCCTCCTTGATCCAACCATGCTTTATTCAATTCACCTGTGGGCATTCTCTAACTGTAGTAGGCATTTCATCGGTCTCGTAAGACCATGAAGAAGAATCTTCTACGTATCGTGTACTTATTCTTTGCTTTACGCTTAGAGCGCTAGCGCTGGGGGTTCACAGCCAAGGGGCAGGGATATGAGGGTAACATTCTCGCAATCTTAACGTGATGTGAAGATACATATATGGTTTATTCTGCATCAGAAAAGTAAGTAGCAATTTCTGCCATTGGCACAACGTACATTAAAACATGCACACGATAAATTCTTTCAAAGGTCGATGTCGTATAATGATTTGTTGGCCTTTTATTTGGCTTATTTCTAAGTGTCTGACTTGCAAACCACAACTTGTATACTGTAGTAAGTGGTGTAGAATCAAAGGTGCGACAAAACAGACACCTCTGAAATCAAAATGACTACATTTAACCGTCTATGCTGCCAGCTGATGGCTGCCATTATCTATGCCATTAACTTACCAACCAGACATGTTGTCCAGTACTAGAGTCATTCTTCATCATATTCTATCGTCGATATTTACATCCATGTAAAGTCAGAAACATCTACACGAAAATCGTTCCTTTAGCTACGAAATTCGTAAACTCAAAATAGATTCCTACAAGAATAGATTCCCTCTTTTATTATTGGATTCCCGTAAGATTCCTAATGGCGTTTTGACGCGCAGACCAAGTGACAGCAATATCCTAGTCTTACTAATGATTTAAACATGCTGGGCTGTATGGTGTCATGTCTGGTACATGAGGACAGGACTGTGCTTCGGGCGTATCTCATGGATAAAACACGCACGTCTGTTCCCCCGTCCTCTCAGGTGTTTACTGTATAATGACACCGGTTTATTGGTCTTGCCGCTGGGGACGGAGTGACTGAATTATGTTCCAGTTGTCAGAAAGCAGGTGTGTGAAAAATTTTAATTACCAAAACGGCACATCACAGTAGATGCGACTGGATGTAGTTTAAGCTATACGGTTTCACTCATAGAATTGTGAAGATTCAACAATGACCAGTAATGTTAAAACAAGTAGCTCTTGTTTAAGTGCGTGGTTTAAGTCCAATGACATGGTATGTGGTATGTGCTAACCATGGATAGTTGATTTTAAGTGCCTGATTTTGCCTCTGCTTGCATGTTGGGAAAACATGGCACAGTGAATGACCAGCCGCCATCTTGGATGAAGTCTACCCTCCAACATGGCGGCTGTTTTCGTCTACAAAGTCGTGCCGTGACTTTCATATTCTGGTGGAATTCTTCACCTTTTGGTGAGAAGGAGAATCTGACGTAGTTGGAGGGGAACAGGCCTATCCTGCCCCTCAGGTAACCCAAGCACCAGCCGCCATCTTCCCCCTCCAGAACCTCGATGACGTCATCCACCTCCAGGCGTAACTCGTTTTCCTCTCGCGGCAAGTAGGAGTATACGGCACGGGCATGCCGCCTTTCTACGAAACAAAACAATAAGAATTAAGAAATTGGAGATCTCAAACTTCGAAGAAGTATTCTGGCTTTTCGTGACCGGCACGTTCATCCCATTTACTGTGTCTGACCTTTTTTGATCTGTCATTCTGTCTGTCAATATTTCCCTCTCCCACTTGCTGTTCGGGCAAACATACACATACACAAACAAGCCTACAGCTCAGCCCCCCAAAAGAAATACTCCCGTACCCGCATCAACAACAGTAAGAACACGACACGGGCATAGCGTTTATCTGTAACACCGCAAAAAAGTTTAAGATTGCCTTAATGTTTTATCATCACTTTCGGTGGCCATGATCTTCATGACTTCGCATCGTTTATGTTACAGACAGAACAGATAATGGCCACGCTTTAAAACACATTACGGTATCTCTGTTCTGCTCTTGATGTCTTTCTGTGTAAGGTTTAGAATAATACAGTAGGAGGGCAGCAATGCAGTAGATGATAAGAACAGACAGGATACGAAGCTACTCAAATTCCTCCAGGGAACGATAATCAGTCCTGCCCACAGAATTGTCAGTCCAACCTTTGGTACATCTACATGCGCGCTGTGGTCTCCTACTGAGGGGTTAATGATCATCCTTACCGCATGTACATGTATGGCCGGGGGGCTGCATGCATAAGCGACCATCTTACCTCTAAAGGCGATGCAGAGAGCGTTTCACAGATACATAAGGAAGTTTCTGGCTTTTGATAGCAAACAGTACAGCGATACTACTAGAGCATACCATGAAGGTTATAGTCTTATGGGAGACAAACCTTTCACAGATACAAAAGGAAATTCTGACCTCCAAGCAGATTCTCTGGAGCAAGTAAAGTCCATATTGGCCGCCTGTAGCCATTGGCCACCGTATGGGATATTGCCTGGCCAATTTGAAACTGTCTTGCCAATTTGATACTGTATCACAGTCACCCAAAGATCTGCTCGGAGCAAACAGTATGGCGAATGCACTACTAGATCATATCGTGAATATTGTGTTCTTATGAGAGACAAACCTTTCTGTCCCAGAGTCCTCCGGATTGTGTTGACTCCCCCATTGCAAGGCGTTCCGTTCGTGGGCTTGTCTGTTGGATGTTAACAAAATAACGTCATAAATAAATAGATAAATAAAACGTATTCTTTATCATGGCTTTGATTGACTTGAATCAGTATTCAGTCATATAAAACCTTTATTAACTAATTATCATCACACTTTCTAACATTGTGTCTTTAATGTAATTTTCAATATCGATGATAATTGCTCGTCCATTCCTGATGCAAATTTATGATAATACTCAACGCGTACGTGTGTACCTGGTTTTAATTTACTATCGTGCTTAATTTCGTTACATAAGGTCACGTACCGGGTGTAGTTACGTGTGGTGATGACGTAGGCCTTGTGACGTAGCCTGACGTAACGGGCGTGGGTACGTAACGCGTCGTGACGTCGTGGGGTGACGTAGCGGGCGTTCCGACGTAGGGCGTCGCCGCTGCGTAAGCCGGTGAGTGCTCTGTTGGTCCTTCCGTGCGATTTGCCTGTTGTCTGGCCGTCTTGGGATAAACAGGGATCCGCTTCTTGCCACACTGGAGCTGCCGCCTGCGCACGATGTAGGTGGAGAGCGCGACGCACACCACGATCGCCAGGACGCTGTCTGTAGCACCAACTACAACCGCTAGGGTGGAGATGCCAATGCCCAGTCGGGACTCTGTAAGGCAACGCCAGAAGCGATTAAGTGTGAACCAGACTAGCCTCTGCTATTCACCTCGGATCGCTGGAAAATTACTAGAAATTGGCCGAAATAAAGGGATAGTATACCAAAGAAGATCCCGGGCCATAGAAGTTCCAATTTGCGATCTTCTATTAGGCCAAATCTTCTCTGGTATACTCGTACTATCCCTTTATTTCGGCCGATTTCTACTATTTTTCTGGCGATCCGCGCTGCCTGGCAGAGGCTTCACCAGACTCTTTTGCAGGCTGAAGAGATAGTAGGAATGGGCGAAAAAAGGGGATTTAATAGGCCAGAGGAGTTGGCCAGCCAGAGAGGGTCCATTTACCTGCACGGAAGCGATTAGAGCAAACCTTAAACGACTTTTAATTCACACACTCAGCTGTAATGCATGGGGGCCATTTAGTCTTAGCGCCATGCACTATTTCAACTTTTCGACATCTAGAAAACCACTGAAGTTTCGGCAGACAAATATCGAATAGCAGTACCCTCGATATTGATCTGAATCTGACCTTGAGACCTACAACATGACCTTGAGGTACGCACATAGTTTATTATGCCGTGCGGTGACTAGAATATCATATTACATCTCTTGCACTTTGAACTTTATTCGTCATCTTTACAGCGGTGGCACCAAGCGGACGTGCCCTGTGCAGAATACCAAATTAAAAACAAATTATATTCAAACATTAAGACACCTAACTAACAATAAAAGAACTAAGAAAATTATAACAGATTGTACTTGCTTACCTCTGATGGTGACCTGCAGTGACCTTGACGCCCCCCTCCCCACACGGTTGCTGGTCCTGCACCAGTAGGTGCCGCTGTCGTTGACGGTGACGTCACGCAGCTGCAGGGTGGAGGTCCAGGCGTCCCTGGGGGTCGCAGAACACAGTATTAATTCATGACTTTCACACTTCCCATAATGCCTAGTAAATATCACGGATATGACGTAAGATGCAGATATACGTAATGCGACCGTGCGAGTAGGAGAGTCTTCGGTAGAAGGTAGATTCAGGATGCAGTACAGGTCATTTCAAAGTGTACGTTACGAGCAGATACGCCGACAGGATTTTTTTGGTTTCTAGATATTTTGTAGTTTGTGCCTTCTTCTCAAACATGGGGTCCTTAACTATAGAAATCCCCATAGGGTGAAAACTGTGCTCTGCTACCTTAACTATAGAAATCTCCATAGGGCGAAAACCGTGTTCTGCTACCTGGTCAGGCGGCTGGTGGTGCTGGGCAGCCACACCCCGTCACGTGACCAGGTGATGTTGGGAGGGGGGTTTCCGTCCGCCACGCACTGTAGGGTGATGTGGTCAGACACCGTGGCCGTCACGGAGTCAGAAATGCTCAGGACTGACGATGGATCTGAAAAAAAATTAAAAAAAAAAGGATCGAAGGAGCTCAAAGCTCAAAGAACAGGCAGCGTACATTAGTGTCAGTCAGTGATGTGGCGCGGACACCGTCGCTGTCACCGAGTCTGACATACTAATACTTATATCAATGGTTTATTTTGCATTAAAACACAACAACACTGTCCCAAAAATGGCAGCCAGAGGCTGAATTGACATTGGGGCATCACATTAATAGTATAAAACGTCATATTAAGCGATTAGAATAGAAATAAACCATTACATAAAATGTATATAAAATATTGTCAACGACGTTTCAAGTGCAAATTAATATCACAAGTGCAGGAGGTATCAGCACCCTTCGAGTTGATAGCAAGTTTATATGTGCGTGCATAGATAGGAAGTTATGAAATTAATTCACTCTCGCGCCTCTGTAATTCTCTATCTGTTTTTTTAGAACTGGGCTAATCAGAAAACAGCCGAAGACCACCAAACCCCCAGTTCTATAAGCCTGCTACGGAGGTTACACACACGCACATTGCCCTTCGTCCGGCCGGTTCAGGACAGTATCAATCGTACCGCAGCTGCAGTATACGCTAACATTGATCCGCGCAGAGATAGGATTACGGTTAATAATCATGGGCATTATTTCTTTATATTCTTGATATGAATTGTTAGTTTTTCGTTCATACAAACAGCCCGGCCGGGCCCCGGTTTGGAAATGTGACCTAGGCATCAGGAGAGCATCAATCGTACCGCAGCTGCAGTATACGCTAACATTGATCCTCGCGCAGATAGGATTACGGTTCACGGCCAGATTATCCGCGGGGTCGGATCGATGATCCTTAGAGCCTCATCGACCCCAACTTTCCCCGTCCGATACCGCCGTCAGTCTCAGCGCGCGCGCACGTGAACTGATAAGCGGTGAAGTTCTCCAGGCTTAATGGCAGGGTAAAGTTGATTTAGCGCGCTAATGGACGGGACTGAGGCGGCACTGACAAGCCGGAGCGGTAAGACACAGTCTTTGGGCCCGCGGTTGGCGTTAATGAGACGGCTCTTCTGTCCCGCGGACGGCTAACAATAGCACTAATCACGTTATCAGCAAGGAACAGCTAACAAGGCTACCAATCACTGCCGCCAACCAAAGCTGACAGTTGAGGTAACAGGGACTGGCATTGGGCAATGAGGAACAAATCAGATTGTAGCTTTCCGTGCAGAAACTGCCCAGGAATTAGGTTTCAACAGCAGTGTGCCGTCAAGTGATACCGTCAGCACCTAGGCTAATAACATGTCGAAGCTTCTTCGATTGCAAATGGGTGTCACGAGTACTGAAATGTAGTGGCGGTCATATTTTTAGGCTCTTCTTTCCCTTGCATTATCTAGTTGACGGAATTAATAAATTAATAAATATAATAACGAAATAAAATAAAATAATAATGAACAAATGAATTAACGGGGATAATTCAATCAGTCCGGCTATATTGTCTATATACAGTCAGAAAATAGCACATAAAAGCTCCCAAAGACCCTGAAGACCCCCAGTTTTGGGCATGCTATGGAGGCTACGTATGTGTGTGTTTTATACCGTAGGCGACTGTCATCGGGCTTATAGCTGACATGATGCACGACAAACGGAGACGAATGTGAGTATTAACGCTGAATACTTTATCTGCAAGCGATGACTGGAATTGAGAGGCGTGTGTATAATTTATCAGGCTTGTCAGTAGGGCATGTAATGAACACGCCTCGCCACTGATAGGTTGAGATTGATTTTACGCGTACCCATCATAAATACTCAGACCTGCACATTTATAATGTATGTCATTATTGTGAAATGTCCCTTCCCTCACGTACGTTTGTCAGGTCGTGTAAGTCTTATCTGGAAATGGTAACTTGATAACAGCGTTAGGCGATGCCTATTTGTAGCTCTTTATCTAATATGCAAGCAATTATCGTAAACTAACGCGCGAATGTACGGTGTTTAGGTCTTATCTGACAAAGACAGCTTGATAGAAATACGCAGGACGTTTTGATAGATAAAGCACGTCGGTAGAACGTATTGCGCCTGCGCGAAATCCGTAATGTATTTTGCATAGCACTTCAGTAGAACGTCTCATATAACTTATATTATAAGGTCGTACTTGCGTGTCATATAACTTATATTATAAGGTCGTACTTGCGTGTATAAGGTTAACATCTCGTCTGTAGTTTCCAAATGTTGTGTCGAAAATGATATCCTCTGCAACAGGCAAATTCTGCTGCAAAAATCCAACGAAAACCGCGAAAAAACAGGGTTTTGCGCAGGCTCAGTACGTTCTGCCGACATGCTGATAGATTAGCCTCTACCAGGCTTGGGGAGGCGGCTGGAAAGAGTAGAAATCGGCCAAATAGAGAGATAAGCATGCCAAGGGAGTTTGTCCGTTGGGGTGCGTCGAAATGTTCTCTCAAAGAACAAACTCCCTTGGCATGCTTATCCCTCTATTTGGCCGATTTCTACTCTTTGCAGACGCCTCCCCAAGCCTGCAGCTGGTAGAGGCTACTGATAGATAACAATTTTAAACTCCTTACAGTACACATTCAGGGCCAGGCTGGCTCTGACGACGGTGACCACGTGATCAGCCACGCATGCGTACACGCCGGAGTCTGCCCTGCCCACGTGACGTATGTGCAGGGCGGGTCTCTGTAGGGTCCCTCCGACGAACTTGGTGTGAGACCCTGACGTGTCAATCGTCACGCCGTTCTTCTCCCAGTGCAGTGACGTCACGTTCGGCTTGGCGCCCTGCACTGCGCATGTCAGCAGAGCTGGCTTCCCCCAGGCGGTGACGTAAGGGTTGGACGGGCCTACCCTCAGTGTAGGGGGGACTGGTCAGAGAGAGAACAGAACATATATCTGACAGAACATGTTGTTTTTAAACTGGTCTGAAACACATTGAAGGAAACAATCACATGACATAATTTAATGGGTACCATACATGTACAACTAGTAAAGCCCATGATTCTCAGTAAAGTAGATTTAGACCCCCCACATGAGTAGTATACGCTATAGATATCAGTGCAAGCTTCCAGACACCTCTGACCCGCTTCTGATCACGTTGTCGCAATATTAGGTGCGTGAAGTGAGTCAAACACCCTGAAGAAGGCTATAGGATCACCCAAAGACTTTGGAAGTACTTTATTGCTTTGAAAATAATTTCTACTTGATAATAGGAATGCCCACCTTACACCTGTTGCATGTAATACATGGATTTAAAGGCCCATATAAAGTAGCTGCGATAAAATCTGACATTAGCGTACCCATAAGGAAGAGTTGGACCTGCCCCTCGCTGCTGCCGACCCCCTCCACAGACACAGACAGGATGTACTTCCCCTCGTCTGCCGGTTTGGTGCGGGCGATCCTGAGGGACGCCTGGTCCTCTAGAGAAGTCCTGCCGACGTAATCTCCGTACGACTCCCTGGTCTGGAGAGGAGGGTAGTAGGAGAAGATCTGCGTGCGGGAAGTCGGTTCTCTGGGGTCCAGTTTGTACCAGGCGATGTTCATGACCCTCCTGTCGGTGCTGAAGGTGGCGGGGAGGGTCACGGGGTCTCCCAGGGTGCCGTACGTCACTTCCGGTAGAGTTAGGTTGACTCCGGAGGCTCCACACACTGCAAAGAAGCAAAAAAGGTTCTGAATTTTAAAAAAACTTCTAAGGCCAACGTCTTTTTTCTATTCCAACATTTATGACAAGACATGGTGACGGCACGCTCCAGTTTTGTCAACTTCTTTGTATGCCGCCACCAACGCAGACAAACACATGAGCGGACAAGGGACGTTCTCATTTTCACCTGAGTAAAGCGAGAAAATTCGTATGAACTGCCTTTCCCAAGGGCACAAGATCGGTGCCCTTGGGTTCGGGTTCGGTTCCGAGCCGAACGCTCTGTCATTACGCCATAAGACCCCACGACGACCAACTTCGCTAATATAAAAGCTTGTAGTTTACAAACAGTTCTCCATATAATACAAGTTCAGTTATAGCAATATTGTTATAATTGAATCTATGACCTTATTAAACCATCTTGTTAAGTGCGAGGTCAGTACTGGCATGCAAAAGTTCGCATTCAACACACGCGTCCCCAGGCACGTTATTTTATAAATGTACTTTCAGCCTCGCTCCATTATAGCCTTTCTAACGCCTGGCGTTATCCAGGAGGATCAGTGATGGTAATCTCTGCCATTGGAGAACTCGTCAGCCCGTGTAACACCAACGTTTGATCTTCTTGTGAAGCGGCCAATACTGTCGGGTGGGTTTAGCGTTACTGGCACATAAGCTGTCCCGGGAGTTTGTACTGCATTTGACTTGAAACAAAAGAGATAGTAACAAGCCATTTATAAAGATAAAAGTATCAGTATATATTTATGATCTAGAGATGCGGCCACTGTAGGGTGGGTTTAATTTTACTGACACATAAGCAGTCCCTGGCGTTTGTACAGCATTTGACTTGAAACAAAAGAGATAGTAACAAGCCATTTATAAAGATATCCACTAGAGCCATAGTATCAGAATATATGTATGATCTAGAGATGCGGCCAATACTGTAGGGTAGGTTTAATGTTACTGACACATAAGCAGTCCCTGGTGTTTGTACAGCATTTGACTTGAAACAAAAGAGATAATAGCACGCCATTTATAAAGATATCCACTAGAGCCATAGTATCAGAATATATGTATGATCTAGAGATGCGGCCAAGACTGTGGGATGGGCTTAATTTTACAGGCATATGAGTACTACCTGCGTTTGTTCAGTATTTGACTTGAAACAAAAGTGATAATAACAAGCCATTTATAAAGATAAACACTAGAGCCATAGTATCAGTATATATTTATGATGTAGAGATGCGGCCAATACTTTAGGGAGGGTTTAGCGTTACTGGCACATAAGTACTCCCTGCGTTTGTTCAGCATTTGACTTGAAACAAAAGAGATAATAGCAAGCCATTTATAAAGATATCCACTAGAGCCATAGTATCAGAATATATGTATGATCTAGAGATGCGGCCAAGACTGTGGGATGGGCTAAATTTTACAGGCATATGAGTACTACCTGCGTTTGTTCAGTATTTGACTTGAAACAAAAGAGATAATAACAAGCCATTTATAAAGATATCCACTAGAGCCATAGTATCAGAATATATTTATGATCTAGAGATGCAGCCAATACTGTAGGGTGGGTTTAGCGTTACTGGCACATAAGCAGTCCCTGGTGCTTGTACTGCATTTGACTTGAAACAAAAGAGATAATAACAAGCCATTTATAAAGATATCCACTAGAGCCATAGTATCGGAATATATTTATGATCTAGAGATGCGGCCAAAACTGTAGGGTGTTAAAGTTACAAGCTTTCCCTTGCGTTTTTTCAGCATTCGACATGAAAGAAAAGTGATATGTATGAATGAATGACTGTTTATTATCGTGCCATTGCGATCAATATAATGGCAATAGCAAGCCATTTATAAAGATGAACATTGGAGTTATCAGAATATTTATAATCTAGAGATGTAACCAATACTGCAGGGCATGTCTGTTGCTTACTATTGGTACTGGTACAGCGCTGGCGTTGAAATAAAAACGACAAAAACAAAGATGAAAATTTTGGAGCCATTATTATATATTAGGATCATCATCATCATCTTAAGTACTGCTGAGCCCAATATTGACATTGGATTACTAGCAGCTGCACATGTTGTTAATTACAAAACAAGTGACCGGTACAAGTAAAAACAAGGGCAACTAAAGGAGGGGACACTACGGAACGTAATAACTGAGTCTGTTGGTGTAAAGGACAAGACAGTGCATTTAGTGTGTTAGTAGGACATATATATATACATATATACAAGACGTGTAGGGGCGACTCAATGCAGCAGGGTCCTCGCCAGTCCAGATTTGAACTGGGCGAGGGACCCCGCCTCCGCCACACCAGGCTCAAGGATATGTATGATCTAGGGATGTCAACAATGCTATTGGGCAGGCGTAACGTTTATTAGCACACAGTCACTCTCATGTAACTGTACAGCACTAGCGTCGAAGGAAAAAGGATAGAACAAGCTATTCATAAACGTAAGATAAACATTGTACTATCCATCAGGACATGCACATGGTTTTTCGATGCGCTGCTGCCAGCACTACTGGGCAGGATTAACGTGTAATGGCTCATAAACACTTTCATTATTGACGTCGAACAAAAAGTGATAAAAACGGGCTATCAGTAAAAGTAAGCACTTGAGCCACCCAAGAAATCTATGCAGATGTGAAGGACGTATTCCCAATGCAGCAACGCATGGTGCCTTGAATAGACTATGCACCTCACAGGTATATAATGACGACTTAGTACCCATTATAAGTTGGCGGCCACGTAAGCATTATTTGGCATTGGTACGGCTTTGGCACCAGAAGAAAAGTGATGACAAGGAGCTATTTGTACAGAAGAACTCTCGATATATTCCTGTCGATATTTTGCAGTCTCCAAGCCTTTCATGCACCAATTCCCGATCTAACAGCCGTATGCTGGCCATAAGGCCCGGTGATTAGAATCTTCTCAATGGTGAGGAGGGTTCTTGTCATCACTCATGTCAGCGTGTGTTCGTTCATATTGTACACGGTTACTTGAACGCTTGAGTAGAAGGACAATTTTTTTTACAATGAGAACTGGCATACAGTAAGCAAACATTTTATTAGTACAATCATCCCAACTCGTAAGAAGGCTACCCTCGAATGAAGACGGGGGCTACTCAATAGTTTTTTTTTATTCCAACATTTTACGACTGGACCTGGTGACGGCACATTCAAGCTATTTCAACTTATTTTATGCCGCCACCAACGCAGAGGACAAATACAGGACAGGACGATACTCATGTTCACTTGAGTTAAGTCAGAAAAGTCGTGTTAAGTGCCTTTCCTTAGGGCACGAGATCGGTGGCATGTCAGGACTTGAACCCGGGACCTCTTGGTTCTGAGTCAAGCACTCTGCCTTTACTCTAATCAGTAAGTTTCATAACAGTGTTTAGTATGGTTGATGACACACTTCCTGAAGTATCCGACTGTGCCTGCCATTCTGGGAAAATACCAACCGTACCTGTCTTTCCCCACAATGGCCGACCGTAACTGTCTTTCCGGAAAATGGCCGACTTATCATCACTATTCCTTCCGACCTGAAAACTACTAGTCAGTCGTATTTATTACCTTGCTGGAAAATAGCTTGTCGTAATTAATAATGCTACGATGATAACTACTTGACAATATACATTGCTACGATTACCTCACAAACCGTCTAAGCCTAGATTAGTCGTTAGATCTCGTCGTCACAATCAATCAACTTCCAGTAAAACGGGGCGAAGGTTTGATACAAGATAAGAGTTTTTAAACTTCACTGACATGCATGTGACGACGCCATCATCAACTTTTAACGTCGCCATTTCATTGCTATGCTGCACTTTAATTATCGTAAAAATCATGGGAAGAAAGATTTTATCTTGTCTATAAGCCCTCTGTCTATAAACCTGTGAGTACAGTGCACTTAATCTCTCTGGTCTTAAAACCTTTTACTGTGCTATTCTAGATGCAGAGACGGAAACTCCCATAAACTCCACACAATTTACAACTCAGCCGCGATAAGCAATTAAACGCCCTTCTATTGTTGGAGACTTGGGGAAGATAAAACACCTTATCATTTTCTTTATTCATTAGTGATCATACGGAGTCCCTTTACTCGCAAAAACTGACTTTGTTTGCTTTCCCTCCAAAAGGATCATCGACCGTCTTTCTAGCTAGTTGTGTGCTTTCTGAACAGTGTGATACATTTGGCATCTGAAGATATAGTCTGTGAAACTCTTCCAAACTCTTCCAAATTCATCCTTATTCATTAGTGACCATAAAATGGTTTGGTTGGGATGGTGGATTTTGTTTGCTTTCTCTTCACCGGGATCCTTGACCCTCTCGCTAGCTAATTCTGGTATTTCTGTAGGTTTTGTTGAACAATGAAATGTAAGTGGCATCTGAAGATATGGGCTGGGAAACTCACCCAAATTCTGAGACATTTCATCTTTATTCAAGTGATCATATGGTGCTTTGGTTAAGATGTTCCATTACTTACAAACGGTAGACTTTGTACATGTGTACTTTTTTCCACAAGGTCCTTGGCCTTCTTTCTATCTACTTCTACGCTTTCCGGAGGTTTTTGTGAACGGTGAAATGCATTTGGCATCTGATGATGGCAAATGCTGGCAACGTTTCATCTTTATTCATGTGATCAAAAGGTAGACTTTGTTTACTTTCTTTCCACAAATTCCCTGGCCTTCTATCTACTCTAGGCTTTCTGGCGGTTGAACGGTAAAATGCATGTGACAGCTGAAGATATGGACTGAGAAGCTCTTTCAAATTCTAACAACATGATGTCCCTTTACTTGCAAACGGTAAACTTTGTTAATTTTCTTTCCACAAAGTCCCTGACCTTCTTTCTATCTACTTCTAGACTTTCTGGAGGTTGGACGGTGAAATGCATGTGACACATGAAGATATGGTCTGGGGAAACTCGTCCGAATTTTGACAACATTCCATCGATTTTTAGGGCACAAAATGTCAATCATCGCAAGGTGCCAGAC